ATCCTCATCCTGTAGGGGAGGCAGACAACCCCTTCCCACGGAGGCTTGTGGCCAGCTTCTGCCTGGTCCTTGGGAGGCTGAGATTCACAAGACTGCACCGACTTAGCAGCATGCTTCCACTTCTGCCTTATTTCTTCAAGAAAGGTCATTTGTCCTGCATTACACGCTGAAACTAGCACCTTCCCACAAGAGGCAGTGCGGCCCTCGGGGCAGTGGCCAAGGTGGATGCTTGCTGCTGTCTGTTCTGGGCCTCACACGGTGTCACACAGCTGCCCTGTGGTCACTACAGGCCTCCCAGGGCACCAGGGTGGAAACAGGTTCTGAAGGGACAATGAACCTGGCCACAAGACCCAAAGGCCAGGCTGGGCATTGGCCTGTGGAAGGACCAGGAGGCAGGTGCTTCACATGGGAGAATATCCCCCCTAGGATCCCCGGGCCACCACCCCTGTGGGTTCCCCAGAACCCCAGATTACTGTCAGAAGGCCACAGGTGAGCACCAGGTCAAAGCAGAGGGCGCTGGGGGAGCTCGTGGGAACCTTCCCCCAGTGGCACAGAAACTGGATGAACCTCCCTGGCTCGCAAGACTGGTGGTTAGAATCTGCATGTTCCCACAGCATCTCTCCCTCACTGGACAGGACGGGGGTGAGGGTGACCGGAACTATGGCAGCCTTTCCTAGGCTGGCCAGTGCCTTCCAGATGTCAGGGTGTCCAGACATTCATGGCAGGGGGAGTGGGGAGGTGGAGAGGTACAGATCTCTGCTCACTTTGCCCCAGAGGATCTCTATCTTCTCCGCACCCCAGCATACCTGGCAGGTTTTACCAGGGCTTTGCCAGGTGGCCGCATTCTTTCCTTGGGTGACCTCCACCTGCGTCTGCATCCCCATAGCTCCCTCTACTCCAGCTTCTCTACCAGCAACTCTGCTCAGCATCCAAATTCACTTGGACTACAGTCTCCTCTGGGTGCACCTCTGCCAAGGCTTCACTCCATGCAATTTCTCTTCTTTCCAGTCCCCTCTTCCAGGTACCACATCTCACATCTAGGGACCTGTGACATTCTAGCCTTCTCTCCTTGGTAAGTATAGATGGTAACACTACTTGCATTTGAAGGAGTGATTAGGAACCAGGCCTTTGCAGCTAGTCTACCTGCATCTCAATCCTGACTCCCTCTGAAAGCTGGTGATGACCCTGGACCAGTTATTAAGTTCTTTCTACCTCTCTTCATCTCTTGTAAAACAGGCATAACAGTCATGTGGTTGTTGAAAGGGTGAGATGTGGGTGCACATGTTAGGCCCTGATGTGCTGCTGGGCCCATTACGAGAGCTGCATGGGCTTCAGCTGTCTTCTCACTATTTTCAGAATGTGGTCCCACCCCTGTTGGTCTGATTTGCCAGGAGGATTTCATTTTGACTCTAACTTGAACTGTATCTGCAGAAACTGTTTCCCCATGAAGCCATACACTGGGGTACCAAGTGGACATGAAATTTGGAGGATATTCTTTGGCCAACTACAGTCACTTGACCAGAGAATCATCCAAAAACCTAGGTCATTTCACAACTATTGGGCTTGAAAATACTGATGAAGGAAGACTAGCAGGGTGAGACGATGTTGCTCCCATCCCTCAAGTTACACTCCTGTTCCTCCGTGTCCATGCTCAGAATAGCTGCTGCCAATGACCAAGAGATTCTTCTGAGATTGCGCGTGTCTCTTTGATCATCATAGATTAAATCACAATGGACTCTGATTCAGTGGGCTACTGAGAGGTGAAAACTTCTCCAATTTAGGAAGTGGGGCTTAGTTGGCGGAAGTAGCCCTTTGAGGGTTATTGCTTGTCCTGCCCTCTCCCATTTCTGGCCATCATGAAGTGACTGGGAGCTGTGCTCTACCATATGCTTTACACCATGCTAGTTGGTTTCATCACTGGCCCAGAAATGAGGCTCCCAAGGGGCCATGGGCTGAACCCTGCAAAGCCATGAGCCAAAATAAACCTTTTCTCTCTGCAGTTGATTTGCTCAGGTGTTTTGTCATAGCAACAGAAAGTAGTCCTAAACAAGGTATCAGGTATCACAGGGCCAAAACACTGACAAAATAGAGGAGAGGCTATATGCAGAAAATGCCTAAAAGACTTAGGAAACAGTGAGTCCTATATTTGTCCTGCAATGCTATGGACCACAATAATGAATTTACCTCTTCTCTCATCTGTAGATTGGTCTGTAGGTTCTGTGAGGCTGGGGAACCGAGGCTGCCACATTTACCAATGTTACTAAAATGTTATCTGCTAAAAGGCCTTCACTGACTTCTCCTTAAGCACAGGAATGCCTGGGTTTTATTGAATGCTGATCATGTGCCAGGCACAGAGTAAATGAAAATATTTCTTGGAAACAAAATAGAATTAATGCAGAAATTGAACACCATAAAAATTATTTATTTAAATCTCCATTAAGAATTAAAAACTGTGTAAGGCACACCTGTGAAGGCAAAAATTATACAGGTGCCCTTGAAAACACTTTCACTTGGTGCTCAGAGTCAGCCTGTTTCCTTACATCCCACCCCATCGTTTGTATACCTTCAGTTTGGAGCAAGTTTCTTAGTTGCTGTTTGCCTCAGTTTCCTTATCTGTAAAATGATGATGATATTAGTACCAGCCCTAGGCAGTTGGGGGGAGGATTAAATGACTGCATTTTTGGAGAATGTTCAGAATAGTGTGTGGAAAGATGTCCCCTGTGAGAGTACTGTATGTCCAGGGCAGAGAGCACAGCAGGACTTCAGTGACATACCCTGGCTGAACAAGTGAAGACCTTCCAGGGTCAGAGCGGAGGTGAGGGAAGGAGGAGGTCGGGGAGCTAGAGGCTGCTCCTGTTCTATCTTGGTTTGTGGAGAGGGTGGGCCCAGGTAAAGGAAAGAAATGGCCCTGATTGGACATTGCCATGAGGTGGGCCCAGGGCCCAGTCTTCCAACTGGGGCCACATCTCTGTCTGACCAGCATTCCCTGCTTTGCTACCCTGAAGACCCAATCCCAGGGCCTCTGCCATCAGCGGGCCTTTCTTCAGGAGTTATTCAGGCATTCCCCTATCCCTCGTGCCTCCCTGCCACCAGTGAACCATAGGCAGGAGAAAACCCACCCATCCAACCTGCACTGAAAATTCCCTTGAAGTGAATACAGTTATTCACACGATTTCCTAGAAGGGAAGATAGCAGTTAAGTGAGTCCCTACCTTGCCCAGGATGCTTCATCTAGAAGCCACAGGGCTGGGAGGAGAATCTCTGTTGTCTTCTCCTAACCTCCACACCTGGGCACCTCCTTCCCATGTTCCCTTCTCCATAAAGCTGAAAGGGGCAGTGGTGCTGCTCACAGGTCTCCATGGAGATTAAAGTGTATGGCGTAGGCCAGGTCTGGCCTATAGTAAGCTTTCTCCAGCTCCCACCTCAGCAGCCAGGCCGCACCCCTAGGATGACAGCGTCCTACAGGACTTCAGTTGATTCCAAATCCTGCAGTCCCTTGCCCACAATGCCCTGTGACCCTGAAAAACTACCCCACTAGCGGGGCCTGTTTTGGCCTGGGTAACATGTTGCTGTAAAGTTTACCAGGCAAGGTTACTGGCATATTAAAGAACACGCAAACAATAAAGCCGGCCTAGGTCCTGCACAGAATAGGACCATGCCTAGACCCCTGGGGAAGAGTTTCTTCTGACTCAACTAAAATGGGAGCATTAGAAAAATTCTATTTCACAGCAACTAAAACTGAGAAATGGTTGAAGAACGTCAGGATAGGTGGTCCAGCTTGCAGGGTGCGGCTCCTGTGTGAAACTACAGGCTCTCAGGGGTCAGGAGGTTCAAACCACTTCCATTTTTTTTTTTTTTTTAAATTCTAATAGGTTAATGGGAAAGAAAGGTTAAATCGCAATGCAGGGTTCCATATATTGAGACATCTCATAAGTGTTCCATTTAACAAGGTTAACACACAAAACCGAGCCAAATATAATTGTGCTAGTGACTCAGAGGGCCCGATGCATCGGGTACTGCAGGCAGTGTTGACCAGGGATGGGACAGAAACGTTTCCAAGGCCACTAGGGTACTCCCCACAGAAAATGTCTGCACCTAGGGCCTAAGCAGGTCTGCGTGACCACAAATGCACTCCTGATCCACCCTCCAGAAGATGGAGGGGCACCTGCGAATCACTGAACCTGCCTGCAGTCCTGGACTGGACCCTAGACTGCTCGAAGGCATCAGCAGCCCCAAAGCCATGTGTGTACAGGACATGCTTGTGGCTGGGGCCATGACTATGTTCTTTTTCTTTTTTAAAATTCTATTCATTTCTTTTTCATTTATTAGAAGATAAACAAATAGTTGCTACAAACATCACTGTAAAAAATTTCTGTGATGGACTCCTTAATCCTATGAGATTTTCTTTTACTCATTGTATTAGAGCAATCATGTTACTATTATATGCATACATATACATGTACATATACATGTGCAGTTTTTTAAACCTGGGAAACAACTTATGGCTAATTTTTCCCCCTTCATTGTGCAGTCATGATTCTTCTGTGGATTCAAGAAGCTCTCTGGAAATCTGATGAAAATCACACACATGCTCGTGCACACACACACACACACACACACACACACTCATGCAATCTGCCAAAATCGAGGAATTTCCAAAATTCCAGACTCCAAGGCGAATCAGTGTAGGCAGGTTCTGGCCTCCAGGGTCTCTCTCCAACCTGATAGCGTTCCGCCCCACCTGGCACCTGGGACTCTGCTTTGGGCAGGGGGCTCTTTGGCTGTGCACTGCCAGGGAGGCTGCGAGGGGCACGGAGGGCTCTGGGGGCGTTCAGGGGGTGTGGCATGACTGGGGGCGTGCCCGACGCGTGGGTACCACCCTCCTGTGGCGGCCTGGGCGGGGCAAACTGCGCCTGGTTCCGCCCCGCCCCTCCGCAGCGAGGTCCAGGAGCTGCAGCCCCCAGTGTCAGGCTCAGAGCCACAGGCTGCGGGCGTCGCAGAGACTGGCACTCGCTCTAGCATGAAGACACACTTCTGTATCCCAGTGTCCCAGCAGCGGCCAGACGCGCTGGGGAGCCGCTACGTGGTGCGCCCGGGGCCCGGATCGGGCTGTACCGGGAGGGGACAGGTGCGCTGGTGCCCTGTCACACACCCTGCTCACCCAGTCTTTATGTCTGCAGCTATACTCCGTGTACCTGGACGGGCTCCTTTTCTGCAGGGTGCGCTACAGCCAGCTTCATCGTTGGAACGAGCAGGTGAGGGGTGCGGAGGCGGGGCCCAGCGCATCAGCCCAGGATTGTGTGACACTTTCGAGACGCTGACTTCTCTGGGCTCTCGGTTCCTAACTCAAACTGGGCTGTGGTAAGCACTGATTGTGAACTGCATGACACACGCCCACACCTACAGTTGTGCGACAAAGGCACACAGCTGTTACTTCGAGCCCTATCTAGCCTCGTGGTCCCCACCGGGGTGGGGCGCTGGGCCTGTCCTGGGCTTCATTCACATCAGGGTCAGCAGCCCCTCCCCCCACCAGGATTTCCCTTCAAAATAAGCAAATCAAGTACAGAGGTGATTTGGGAATTTGTACGTAGATATTTACTCTCCTTCCTCTAAAGAGTTTTCAGCTTACCGACTTTAAAAAAAATGCATGTCTCTTTTTTTTCCTCAAATGGCCACATCCATAGGTTTCAAGTTCCGACTTCCTGGGCTTATCCTGTTAGGGGGCTATTTCTCACAGTGCCGACAACTAGTGGGCCATGGGTGATGTATCCTTTCAGACAGCCTCTGAGGTTCCCGAATAGATGTACTAGACTTTATTTTGCTGTCATCCAGTGGCAGACAACTCAGTTTACCTCTTCTACTGCTACAAATGCCACCACTGTGATCCATCTTGCTCTTCCATCATGGCTCATTGGAACATATCCATTTTAATTTTTTAAAATTAATTTTATTGAGAAACAAATAGCAATGAGACAGACAGTTACAATAATTAATATATTGCATATTGTTGTCTTCATAGTAGTTATTCATAGTACAAGATGCAGACATGATATCCTGTCCAAACACTATCAGTACAAATCTTTCTTCTCATTGAATTAAGAGAAATTAGCTGTATATCTATCTTAACTATTTTGTATATACAGATACAAAATGGTCCTTCATTTGTATCCCCTTTTTAATGTTTAGTTTAGTCAGAGATGGATATTCCATTGCCCTTTAAATATTGTAGGTGCGTGAATTCAGCAAAATATTCCAATATAGTCCAGTAGTCCATAATAGTAGTGGGTTATCTGTAGGACTGACAATGTCAGAAGTTGGTGACTTGAGCCTTTTACAGCTCAGCATATTAATATGGCTTTACTAAAAGGGAACATACCCATTTTAAAGATATGATTAAAGTGTGTCTTTGGAGTTAGCAAGGAAATGGTTATAACGTGATCACGAGCTAATTTGAGCAATTATCTTTGTATTGTCACTCCTGTGACCCAGGACAGCCTCAGGAATGATTGTCCAATGACTGAAGAAAGGTGTGGTACAGGTTTCTGAAAGATGTGAAGCCTCTTTTGACCAAAACCCACCCGCAGAGTTGTGCAGGCGTAGAGGCAGGTAGATGGGGACAGAAAGGCTTGGTAATTTGGGCTTTGGGAGACATAGGTCAGGCGCCTCTCCCTCCCTCATCTGTGTTCTGTGCTGTGAGTGGGAGTGAGAAGGGGCCCTCACAGGGGGCAAGGCAAGGGTGGCGGGAGAGTGTGGGACAGGCTGAGGAAGCCCGCTGCCTGGCCTACCTCTCCAGTTTTCACACCAAAAAAACCCCCCAAAAACCAAGCCAGTAAATGGTCATAGGTGTCAACCTGCTAGGCTGCTCGGGACCAGCAGGGCAGTTTCTCTAGGCCAGGTGCATGGTATGTGTTCAGTAAATATCTGCTGGTCTGTGGCTTCAAGAATTCCTGCATCTCGCCCTCTTTAACCAACGGATTGAAGAAAATACTTCTTTTCAGGAAAAGTTGAAAGTGACAAGTCAGTCATAGCAGGTCCAGAAGCAGAGACATAAAGTGAATAAATTTTTGTCGTCATCGTCATCTATTTGGGACATCATGAACAAACATTATTCAAGAGCTATTGGTACTATAAAAAGTACATATTGATGAATATATTTTTCTAGATTTTCAAAACCCTGAAGTAGAAATTTATTTGTCCATCTTCCAACTTTTCTTCACCTTGTACCTATCAGCTTTCTATTTTTTGCACAAACAACTTCACTTGAAAGAAACTATTAGATGTGAGGTGCATACTGAATATTTACTCTTGATTTAAAACAGTTAACAAGGGGCCAGAGAGATAGCTCAGTTGAATAAGCACTTGCCTGGCTAGTACAAGGGCCTGAGTTCAATCCCTGGTCCTGCAAAAAAAAAAAAAAAAACAAAACAAAACAAAAAACAAAAAAAACAAAACCAAAAAACAGTTAACAATTAAGCAGTTCAGCATGCCACAGCCGGTGCCAAGCACTTTACATATAAATTACTTTGTGTGTCATTTTTACAACAGCCCTAGGAATTAGGATTATAATTAGCCCCATTAAGAAATGAAGAAATCCTCGCACAGTTTGCCAAATGTTAAACTGATTTATCCAGGGTTTGATATTCACAACCTGCCCTTACCCATTACATTATGTGTTTCCTTACTTAGTTGACAAAAATCCTATCAGTAAAATAATTGAGTCTAATGATCAAGAAAAACCAACCTCTCTTTCTCTGTATTTTGGGATAGAATAATATAATCCATTGCATTCATCAGTATGATGAATTTGAGTAAATATATACAATCATCACCACTATAATCAAGATACAGGAGAATTCCCTCACAATGAAGCTCCCCTGTTCTCTTTGCCCTTGACCCCCCAACCCCCAACCCCCACCCCAGGCAACCAGGGCTCACTTGCTGTCACTGGAGCTCAGGGAACAGAACTGTTACTTTCAGAAAAACAAACAACTTTCTAATGTAAGAATGTCCTATGCACTATTTGGTGCATACTCGAGGGGAACTTTGTATTTTATTTAACCACTCTCACTCTGACTTTGAAAGATCAGGTGACTTTTCTTAATCACTTCTCTGCTGGATTTTATTGTTCCTGCTCTATGGAGGATGCAAAATGGCTCCAAAATTCTTAACCTGACTCAACACAAAGCACTATAAAAAAGGAAACATCAGAAAGCCCTTTGGGTGGTGAGTGTAAGTTTATTTCCACTGTATTTTCTTAAATTTTTACAAAAATCCTGTTGTATGCTGTGCTAGTTACTTTTCTCATTGTTGAGGCAAAATACCCAACACCCAAAGCTGAAGGGGAAGAGATTTATTTGTTTGTTTGTTTGTTTGTTTGTTTATTTATTTATTTTGCAGAACCAGGGATTGAACTCAGGCCCTTGTGCTTGCCAGGGAAGCGCTTATTCCACTGAACCATCTCCCCGGCCCCCAGAAATGATTTATTTAGCTCACAGTTTGTAGATGTTTCAGTCCATGATCAGCTGGCTCCAAGGCAGGGTGGCATGGCAGACAGGCATGGAAGAGGAGAAACAGTTCATGGCAGGCAGAAGGCAACAAAGCAGCAAGCAGTGACCATAGATCTTTCTGTCCCTTATAACTTATCCAGGATTTGAGGACAGGGAACAATCACACTCTTAATACCCTTAAGCCTAGCATTGCACCATGAATCAATCCTAGTGTCACACACTCTAGGATCCAGCCACCTCTGAAGAAGCCCCACCTATGATCACCTGGGACTTTAGGTGGCATCTAAACACAAGATATAACATATGTTATGCACTGTGTCAAATTATGTGAGGACTATGGCTTTACCACTATAATTTTTGGCTTAAGAACTGGATTTGCATTTTGTATGTCAGATACTACTGAGGTTGAGGAGGATCAGTGGCCCAGGTGAGCTGGCCCCCTCATCCTTCTCAGCCAGGGGATGTGTAGAGCTAAGGCATACAGGAATGGACCTGGGGAAGAGGTGGTGTGTTGCTGTGGGTTAGCTGGGACCCACGCTTACTAGCATTGTCCCCTGCAGCCCTGTGCCCTGCTGGCCCTGCTTCTTTCTGTGCCTTTGGGTCATAAAACCAGTTTGATCAATGGCTCTGCTCTGATGTACACCCCTCTTCTTACATGGATATGAAGACCTCTGGCCCAGGGTAATAGTTGAGGGTGTCCCATGAAAGTGATATGGGCTCTGTGAACAGGGGCTTGCCTCTTGCACCCTGCCAGCACCTCTGTTATTAATGTTTTCATGAGTGTAGGAGGGACACAATGAATATTTTCACTTCTACGTGACCCAGGTTGTCACCTCTCTGGGATAGGTATGGGAACTGTGAGTCCAGTAAGACAGGTAAAGGAGGGGACATTTCCAACAGGTCCTGTTCATGTCAAAAGGCAGAACTGCATGAGGACATTAGTGGGGATTGTTCTGGGATTAAAAAAAAAAAAAGCCAGGATATAGCCTTTCGGAAGGATAAAAGAATACCTCAAACAAATAAATGTTGTATAATAAAGAAGCAGAAGAGTTTAGGGTTTTTTTGCTTTAAAAAATGTTTTGTTGGGCTAGCGAGATAGCTCAGCAGGCTGAGTGCCTGCTTAGGCAAGCGCGGGGATAGGGGTTTGATACCTGGCATCACATGCCTCATCAGCCTTGCCCTTGGCAGGCTGAGCCGGCCACCCAGTTGGGTGTGGTACCCCTGTAATCCTAGCATTGGGGAGGCTGAAAACAGGAGGATCACTATGAGTCTGAGCTGCACAGTGCAACCTTGTACCAAATACATTTTTTAAAAAAATGCTTTATTGAGCTCAACTCTGGTACCAGCTGCTCCTCAGTACATGGAAGCCCATGGAAAAGTTTCTGTGTTGGACAAGTTGAACTTGGGGTTACTGATGACTTTTGGCAAATCTTACTGCCCAGCCTGCAGTCTCTTTCCTGCAGTGTTAGAGAAGGGAGCAAAAGGTTCCTTAAGTCAGCTGGGAGGTGTTTTGCTTGTGAGGAGAATCACAAGCTTAATCATGGCTGACTTTTCCCCAGCTCCTGGCCCCGGGGTCAGGGCTCCCGGAGATGTCCTCCTGCAGGGAGATAACACAGGCAGCCCTGCTGTCTCAAGCCTGCTGTGATGAGAACTAATTTGGGAACATCTGCGACATTTATGAACCCATGCCAAGGAAGACAATTGCCTTTTAAAGATCACTTAATCAGTTAATCAAGGAATAATTGCATGCAAAGAAGACACGTTTTTGCTTCTGCTGAATGGAATTAGCAGAGATGGCGTACATAAATCCCCAGGTTGTTTGAACAGCCCTGTCTGGGTTGGGGCGCCATCTGGAGTGCCTTTTGATGGCCTCTGGTATGGCAGGAGCATTTCCTTGGGCTCAAAAGAAGCACAGTTGTTGCTGTAATATTTTATACTAGGGCAGAGGAGAGGTTGAAAAGGCCCACAGGAGTCAGGGGAGCAATTTGAATGAGATGGGGATCAGGTGAGAGGCAGTGGGCTGGGGTAGGTGTTTAAATCTCCTTAACAGACCTGGGAATGTGAGCCCATTGATTCCAGATCTTCTGATTGTTCAAGAGGCCACAACATCCAGTGGTTTTTTTAAAAGCATAAACTGAATATTTTTGGGCAACAATTTTAGTTTACAGAAAAAGGAATACAGAGAGTTCCCCTGTGCTCTCTACCCAGTTTCCTCTGTTATTAATGTTTTCATGAGTGTAAAATATCTGTTATAATTAGTGAATCATTGTTGATGCACTGTTACTAACTACAGTGCATGATTTATTCAGACTTGTTAGCCTTTGCCTAGTTTCCTCTTTCTGTTCCAGGAGCCGATCAGGACCCCATATTACAGTTAGTCATTATGTCTCGTTAGACTCCTTTGACTCTGAGAGTTTCTCAGACTTTCCTAATTTTTGTCCCTCTATTGAAATCATATCTTACCACTCTGTGACAGTGGTGATATCGGCTGTGAAAGGGAAGACTTCAAAGATGAAACACTATCTGAATCACCGCGATATAAGGTCCCTGGCTTCCATGTGACTTATCATGGCTGCTGTCGCCTGTGGCTTGGTTGTTCATCAGGTTTCCCCACTGTAAGGTGCCCCTCTTCTCCCTCTTGCCTTAATATCTTCTTTGATGATCTTTCTTTCTTTCTTTTTTTTTTTTTTTTTTTGGCCAGCTGAGCCCACCCTGAGGGTGGGGCTGGTACAACATGTGGTGCCAAGGATTGAATCACAGTCTCCTGAGCCTGCCTACGCTTTAGACTTCTGAGCTATGTCGCCAGCCCCATAGTGTCTTCTTTGGAAAGAAGTCATTTAAAGAGCAGGGATTCATGTTACTCCATCTTGAGGAATGAGCATCTATGTAAAGGATTTGGAGCTCTTTCGCAGAGTTGTCTCTTCCCTCAGTTATTCAATAATTTATATCTTTATGGGATTACGGGTATTTATAGTTTGGGAAATTTGTCAATATCACCTTATTTTCCAGATTAGAGTGTCCCAGTTTGGGCCCAAAAGGGCTCTGTAGTTTGCTCCTATGTCTCTGACATCCCCTTTGTTGATTCTTCTTCTTCTTCTTCTTCTTCTTCTTCTTCTTCTTCTTCTTCTTCTTCTTCTTCTTCTTCTTCTTCTTCTTCTTCTCCTCCTCCTCCTCCTCCTCCTCCTCCTCCTCCTTCTTTCTTCTTCTTCTTCTTCTTCTTCTCCTTCTCCTTCTCCTTCTCCTTCTCCTTCTCCTTCTCCTTCCCTTCTCCTTCTCCTTGTTTCTCTCCCTCTCCTCCTCCTCTTCCTCCTCCTCATCCTCCTCGCCCCCTCCTCCTATTGTTGCCTTTCTTTCTGGTGGTACAGGATACTCTGGGCTCACCTTGTGGATTTCTTGTCTCAGTCCTGGAATCAGCCACTTCTCCATGAATCCCTGGTTGCTTTTATTGGTAAGTGCCATGAGAAACCAGAATCAGATGCTAGATGTGCATTGAGGGTTATGGATAGAGACACTATAAAGTTCACAGGCAGGATTTGTGTTGGCATAGTTTTCAAATCAGCTGGGTAAATACTTAGAATTGTGATTGCTGAATTCTAGGCCCTCTCAGCTTCAGAACAAGGACATAGAGGTGTTGCAAGCCTAAGTGTAGCCTTAGACCATGTAGTTAGGCTTGTTTAGAAGTATTTCTATACTTCTAAATCCATCTCTGTCTACAATAATGTAAACATGAATACATATGAATGCATCCAACTGTAATGCCTTACCTGGTGGAAGTCCTAGCCTCCACGTATCTGTAAGCTCCCAGAACCTCAAAAGGAAACTTGACTCCCACCATCTGCCATTCATTCACTTCTTTGATTCTGTATACGCTCATAGTCAGAATGAATTGTTAAACCAAATTGGCATGAGAAACCACTTTATCAACTGGCTACAGAGCTGATGTATCATTAGTTGGGCCATTAGTTTCACAGACTCCACTCATTTCTGGTTACTTAGGCCCATACTTTTCATCTCTCATTCCTTTCAGTGAGGGTGTCTTATACATTTATAATATAGGCAAATTGTTTTGTCATGTGCTGTTTTCTATTCTGGGATGCTCCCTACTTCCTAAGTAATTATTAAAAGTATTTGCATATGCTAACCTTGTGTTGTAAAATTCAATGGATTTTGACGAATGTGTAGTGTCCACAATTATAACATCATATGTAATAGCTATGTTGCCCTAAAAAAAATCGCATCCACTTCACCCATTCAATATTCCCTTACCCCAAGCTCTTGGTGACTGTTGACCTTTTTACTCTTTTGCTGGGAAAGACTTGCAGCACCAGCTGCCAACAAAGACACATGGTCACTCAGTGCAAGTAAAGGGAGGGCTCAAGCAAAAAGCTGTCCCGCCACCTTTGGTCTTTATTTTTTATGTATATTGAGTCTCAGCCTTTAGGTTACTTTTGGTTCACAAAACAAGCTCTTATTGTGGGCACCTAAGATCTTGAGAACCTGCGAGGTCTCTGGGAGCAAGGACACAAAAATAGGATGACCTTGAGGAGTTTCAGGTGTTCCTGGTTACTCCCTCTGCTGTTGTGGTTGTGTTTTTCTATTCCTCGACCCACATGCCCTGCAGGTCATTCTGCAAATCTCTATTTCACTCCTTCTTATCCCAACACTCTTTCTATATTAATTGCCTTTTTCAGAATGTCATATAACTAAAACCATATAGTACATAGCTTTTTCAGACTGACTTCTTTAGTTATCAATTTATACTTAAAGATCATCCAGGATTTCTTTAGTTTGATAGTTTATTTATTTTTCTTTTTTCTTTTCTTTTTTTAATTACAGGTGCTGCAGGATCTCACTACATAGATAAGACTCCCAGGAGCTGGGATTACAGGCTTGTGCCACCATGCCCAGTCTCAATCGCCATCTCAGTGAGCCCCTGGTCCAGGGCCAGCATAGCAGGCCGGGGATTGAACTCCAGCCGCTGCATCTGCCTAAGCAGGAGCTTTAATCCACTGAACTATTTGGCCGGCCCTAGTTTATTTCTTTTTATTACTGAATAATGTTCTCTGATATGGGTATATTACAATTTATTCACATATTGAAGAATATATTTGCTCCTTTCAGTTTTGGAGGGTTATAAATAAAAATACTATAACATTCGCAGGTAGGTTTTTGTGTAGACATTGTTAGAGAAAACTCATTTTTTGGTTCTTACCTTAACTAATTTTTATGTATCTTCCCTAAAAGTTATTACCACCATGGTTTGGGTGCTGGGTGGGTTGGTAAGAAGGAAATATTTCCCTTGGCATTGCATGTCAGCCTTGCAGGAATTCCATAACCAGCACTGTACAGTAGAAATACCGTACATGCCACATATATAATTTAAAATTCTTTGGTAGCCACATGAAAAGGGTTTGAAAGAGATAGGTGGAATGAATGTTAACACTCTGACATGATACAGACAAAGAATTCTCATTTCAATGTTTAACTACTATAAAAATTATCGAAGGCATTTTGTATTCCCTTCTTTGAAGTAGGTCTTTGAAGTTGGGGCTATAGTTTACAGCACATCACAGTGCAAACTAGCCAGGTTTCAAATGCTCAGAGTGACAGGAGACTGATAGTTACAGTATTAGGTGGCACAGGGACAAATATTTGTTAAGTTCAGATTTGGTGAAGGTGGGGTTCTGACTATAATCATTGATAGCACAGATATTGTTAAGGGATGAAAAAGAAGATGTGGTGTGAGCTGCATGTAGTCTTGTTAACAAATGAAGAGTCAAAACATATTTTAGGCAAAATCAGGCTGGTGTTATCAGTCTTTGACGTGTCTAAAGCATCTTTAGAGCATACACTGAAATGTGTTCCCCCCTTAAGAACATCAAGTTATCCTCTTTTCCTTTTTTGACCACCAAGAAGAGTTTGAAGTAGAGTGCTAAGATTTTCTGTAAGAAGAGGTTTTCATATCTCATCAGCCTTGAGTTAGAGGCTTGCTTGCCTTACCTGTGTTTTCTGCATCTTCCAGTTGAGGCGTGTTTTTGGAAACTGTCTGCCACCCTTTCCACCAAAGTTTTACCTGGCAATGACCACTTCTATGGCTGATGAGAGGAGGGACCAGTTGGAACAATATTTGCAAAATGGTATGCATTTTGATTTTTAATAGATGTGTTGAAATAGAAGTTGCACATGACAAAATTAATCCAAGGTACACAATCCAATGGTTTTTAAATTTTTTTTTCTTTTACCCTAACCCTAACCCTAACCCTCATAATTCAATGGTTTTTAAAGACATCTTTCTAAAAGTCCAACACACATTAATGTTAAAAACCCTATAGAAAATTGGAATAGATGTTTTTTAATCTCAATCTGATAAAAGCTATCTATAACAAACCAAATCATACTAAATAGACAAAAACTGAAAGCTTTCACTCAAAAATCAGGGACAAGACAAGGATTCCACTATCACTACTCCTATTCAATATAGTTCTTTTTTTTTTTTTTTTTTTTTTGCGGTACTGGGGATTGAACTCATGACCTTGAACTTGCCAGGCAAGCACTTATTCTACTGAGCCATCTCCCCAGCCCTCAATATAGTTCTAGAAGCACTAGTTGAGCAATTAGATAAGAGAAAGAAATAAAAGCAATAAAGATAGGAAAGGAAGAAGTTAAATTATCATTACTTGCAGATGACATAAAACTCTACATAGAAATCCCCCAAAATTCTGGTAAAATGCTTCTAGATTTAATAACCAAATTTAGTTACATAGCAAGATACAAAATCAACACTCAAAAATCAATAGTATTCCTCTATACAAACAACAAATTCACTGAAAAAATAGGGAAACCACACCATTTATGATAGCATTCAACAAATGAAATACTTAGTAATAAATCTAACAAGGAAGTAAAAGATCGACACATTTACAATTATAATATTCTGAAAAATATTATAGAGGATTTTAGAAAATAGAAAGACATTCTTTGTTCATGGATAGGAAGAAATAGAATAATGAAAATGGCCATACTTCAAAAACTGTTTTACAGATTTAATGCAATACCAATCAAAATGTCATTAGTATACCTTACAGAGCTAGAGAAAATATTCTAAAATTCATCTGGAACCAGAAGAGACCTAGAAAAGGCAATTCTGGGCCACCAAGGAAGGACAGGAGACATTATAATTCCTGACTTGAAATTATACTGCAGGGCTACTGTGATAAGGTCAGCACGATACTAGCAATAAAACATACCTAAGGACCAATGGAAGAGAGTAAAAGATGCAGACACAACTAAAAACACAGTCAACCATTCTATCTTTGACAAAGGGGCCAACATATTCACTGAAAGAAAGACAGAGTCTTTAATAAATGGTGCCAGAAAAACTGGCTCTCTAAATGCTGAAGATTAAATCTAGACTCATGTCTATCACCATGCACTAAACTAAAGTGAACATAGATCAAAGATCTAAACATTAAAATAGAAACACTGAATCTACTAGAAGAGAAATAGGTAGAAATCTTGAAAGCATAGATGTAGGTAGAGAGTTCATGAATGAAACAGAACTACATGGGAAACACTTCAAAGAATCAACATTGGGGTCTTATCTTATTAAAAAGCTTTTGCACATCAAAAGAAATCACCAACAGAGTGAAAAGACAACCTATAGAGTGGTCTGTTTATACAATAGAGTGCTACTCAGCCATAAAGAAGGATAAACTTTTAGAGTCTTGTACATAAATGAATGTACGTTGAGACCATACTCAGAAGTGAAATAAATCAGATTCAGGTATATAAACATTGCATTATTTCTGTGGTGTGAGAAACTGAAAGAATAAATAAGGTCTGAAATGATATTGTGAAATGGGAAGAAATTATTCAAATGGAAAAAAGAATTAGCATGGGTGAAAGAGGAAAGAACAGTAGGAAAAAGGGAAAAATGCAAGTTATATTATTAATGTCTCAGTCCATTAAAAAGGAAAGTTTATGCTAATATCAACTGGAGAAATTTTTATGTCATATCTTGTACCCTGAGCAACTGCTTTAAAGACAACGTATGAAAAAAATAAAGACAACATGTAATTAATTAAAAAACAACATGTAATTAATTAATGTATTAACTATTGTTGTGAGGGAGGGAGGTATAACCCTGGTCCCTGTGCTTGCCTAAGCAGGCCCTTAGTTGGTGAGTTATCTTGCTTCCCTCACAATTGTTTTTTAAAGGTGTATGTACAAAAGCTGGAAGCCCCTCTGCTGCAGGTCTCCCTCCACTTGGGAGGGCCTACCTTTTGAGTTAGGGCACTGAAGATACAGCAGTGAGCCAACAAATGCCAGTGAATGTGGATTCAGTGCATCACAAAGTGAAGGGAGAGCTGGAGGTGCTGAGGCCTATCTGTACAGCAGCACTCAAGTCTGAAGCAGGAGGATCACAAGCAAAGCCCAGCCTTGGGATTTACTAAGACCAGGGACTGCAGAAGCAGCACGTCAAGGCACTGGGTTCAACCCTGGGTGCCGTGTAATACAAATCTCAGTGGAGTGCCCTTGTTTTTTTACCTTTATTAAACCATTATTAAGAGGCTAACCAGAAGGGTGAAGATTTTCCAGATGAATAGTTTTCCTTTCTTGAAGCTCTACTCTGACTCAAGCCAATTCAATTCTCTACTCTTGACATAGTCTGGTTGTAATGAGATGGTTCAGTCCAAGATGACTAAATTTTCCCTTTCCAGCCCCACAGAACAGTTATGGGTACATTTTCCTACTTGCTATGAAACCCAGAACAATGCCAACAGGGCTTTTGGTATGTATTTCAACCACCACCAGCAATTAGTCCCACCAAATGAAAAGGTTCCATTGGTGCTATCTCTTGGATATACTTGGAGGGCCAGTGCCCCTAATTATTCTTAGAACTTGTCAGATGGGTTCCCAATGTAGAGGTAAGAGATCTACACATGATAAAAAACCTATACTCAGACCAAAACATGAAAACAATTTGTTAGCATTTTAATGAGCCCCCTGTCCAGTAGCTTCAAGCTACCAGGACACAGGCCCCCCCCCCCAACACCCTTAATCTTCTCCTCAGCTCTTCTGCTGAAGAATTTGGCTTTCACGATGACAGGCTGCTTTGGGAGCTTTCCCTTCCCAGGAACTTTGTAGTAGCCTGATCACACTACATCAATGAGGGGAGCTGCTCCAGTCTTGTTTTTGGCAGCATTTACTCGTGTCTGCTCACTGACCAATGTCCACAATTTATCAAGGTTGACAGTTGGGCAGAAGCTCTGGTTTCTCTTTAAGTGGTAATGCCTCATACCAGCCTTCCCAAAGTAACCTGGGTGATATTTGTCAAAGTTGATCCTGTAATGATGCCCGCCTCCAGCATTATCCTGGCCTCCGGGGTGCTTCCAGTGCTTGCCGATGCGGCCATGGCCGTGGCTCACATGGCCCCAAAGCTTCTGGGTCTTCCTTAGTCTGGAGGGCATGTCGGCAGCCGAGACGAAAGGGTCCTCGGATTTTTTTTACAAAAGTTAAATAAGCTGAAATATACAAAGTGGTTGGCCCAGTACTTCTTCTTAGTAGTCATATAGCAAGTCCTAGTAGGGTGAAACCTTCCCTCAATAGCTTTACCATCCCTAGGAATCCAGGTTAAGGAATACAAAGTTGTATGGCACAACTAGCCCAGAAAATAAGGCAAAGACCTTCCCCCCAATTCTCTCTGGAGGCTACCATTCAAAAGAGAGGAAATGATTTTCACAGAAATCTAATTTGCTTGTTTTTTTTTTTTTTGTTTTTTTTTGTTTTGTTTTGTTTTGTTTTGTTTTGTTTTGGAGACAGGGTCTTCCTATGCAGTTCAGGCTGGCCTTGAACTCACAGGGGTCCTCCTGCCTCAGCTCCTGAGAGCTGGGATTACAGGTGTGTGCCACCACACCTGGCAAAACTCTCTTGTGTTTCCAGGACTCCTTCTTGGGGGGCTGGGGAGATGGCTCAGTAGAATAAGCGCTTCGCTGGCAAGCATAAGGGCCTGAGTTCAATCCCCGGTTCCACCAAGAATAAAAAAAACAAGTCCAGGACTCCTTCTTTTAGTTTATTTGGGAAAATTGACCTCTTTTAGAAAGGCATACTCTATAATCAAATCAGACAGTGCTAGTTTTGAATGCTCATAGAGATTGTCTGGTGAAATCAGTGAAACAACAATGGAAAGAAAAGAAATTTAAGGGCAGTTTAGTTGGGTGTCAAATACAGGGTCCAAGCAGACTGGGAGGGGGGCTGAGCCAGGGGGACAGGCTGCACCATGATGCCCACTTTCTCAGGAGGGCATCTACCCAGCCCTCTGGACACAGCAACTGGCCCCCACAGTCTGGAGTTTTGATGGGAGGGAACAATATTTTGGGGCACATATTATTACTATTATTATGTTTTGCAGTGCTGGAAATGGAACCCAAGGCCTCAGTTAGGCAACTGCCCTGCCATTGAGCTATGTCCTCAGCTGTTTTCTATTTTTTATTTTGAGACAGTCTCCCTATGTTGCCCAAACTTGTGATCTTCCTGCCCAGCCTTCCAAGTAGCTTGAATTACAGGCATGTGCCACCATACCTGGAAAAATGAAGCACTTTAAATCTTTCTGACTGCCTCGTCATTTTTGAGGTATTCCCTCAAGAGCTCTCACTGGGCAGAGGTGTTCCCAGGGGTGTTTGTGGTTGGTTTTACATTTTTCGAATTACTATGTGTCTCAACCCTTAAGATCTTTTTGTTTCTTTGTATTAATCACAGGGTCATCCCACTAGGGCAGTGAGGCAGGTATTGAGCAGGAGGCTGTATACCAATGAGGCAAGACTCGGGGAACATTGCCACCTTGAACTGTCATGACAGGGCCATGTTGTCTCAGCATACCTTGAGGACAAGCAAGTTTTGCAGACTTTCCTTCAAGAGGTCACAAGCGCTGTCTCCTGCAGGGAGGTCGAGGAGCCCTGGCAGGCATGGAGGCTGCCCCTCCCTCCTAGAACACAGAGCAATTAAAAGACAAAACTCAGCCCAGCCTGTGCTAACCCGGCTCACTGTCCGTGTTTTTCAGTAACCTCGGACCCACATGTGTTGCGAAGTGATGTCTTCGTGGAGTTTGTAAAGCTGGCACAGCTGGTAAGCCTGCTCTTCTGCCCTGAGGCCGTGTCTGAGCTGCAGAACGTGTCTCCTTGTTACCGTGAACGTGCACACGCCTGTGCTTTAGCTTTGTGCAGCGCCCAGACTCTGGGAAAATAGATTCATTTAGAATATATTTAAGAATGGCTTCCATTTTGGAAGTTTAGACTCTTGATGAAAAATGGAATGTGGCATGTGACCTTTGGTTCTAGTTTTTAAAAAGCAGAGACTTTTTCTGTAGCCTGAGTGCTATCCATCTCAAAACAGGCCCCTAAGAAGATAGCCTTGGAGTGGAAAGAACCAGGTGCTGCTAGGAATCATTCAGGGGTCTCCTCTGCTCTGTGAGCCCGGTTCTGCAGCTGGGATGGCCAAGGGGCCATGGTATCGGCAAGAGGACCGCGGCCTCAGCAGCCGTCACAGGACTTGTAATCCTCTGCACCTAACTTCACTCTTAACTGAAGAAAATTCAGCGGAGACACAAGCAACTCTCTTTCCTTGGGCAGCCTAAAGAACCCCTGGCCACTCGGCCTCTGGGCCGAACCTTGGCTAAGTCAATTTATTTAGCACATCCATCACCGCAGTTGTCCATATGGAAACATTTCATGCTTGTGTATATGAACCTGGCTGAGTGGAAAGGCTCCGGAAGGATTGAAGTAGTGCAATAATATGCTGTTGAATCAGATTGCCAGGGGAAGGAGGAGTTAGGCCTTGATCAACTCTGCAGACCAGAGCAAATTTCATTCAGATAGGAGTCCGAGTAGGTGGATAGGTTTGTGATTTCTCAACCTGAGAAAAGGCCCAAGAGCCTTTCATCATTGAGTGGTTTTTATTTTTACACTTTTATTTTTATTTTTTATGTAGTGCAGGGTCTACAAGGTCTACAGGGTCTCACTACACAGATTGGACTTATAGTGATCCTCCTGTTTTCAGTTTCCCAAGTGCTGGAATTACAGGCACCACTACACTCAGTCTCAATCTCTGACTCAGTGAGCCCTGGGGGCGGGCCCTGCACAGCTGCCCAGGGATTGAACCTCCGACCCCTACATCTGCCTAAGCAGGCACTTTAATCTGCTGAGCTATCTGGCCAGCCCTTATTTTTACACCCTCTAATGGCTTAAATATACACATATTTTCTTTTTCTTTTTGAAGTGGTAATGGTGATAAAATGCAAGCAGCACAGAAGTACGTAATGCAAAGTAACTTTGCCTGTCCCGTAGTTCCCTTCTGAAGACAATTGTTTCTGACTCGGTGCATGTGTTCTTTCTGCACATTTCCATACTTCCATAGGCCTATCCATTTTACAAATTAGCACATAGTAGGCATACTTGTTAATTAGAGGAACAAAAGCAAGTCACCCACCCACAGACACACGCAGTCCTGGGCTTAACTAATCTGCTAGGTATTTCTCCATCCACCCAAGCTGACCTATTGTGATTAATGATCACATTCTTGAATCTTGCTTTCTAAACCTAGCCTTGCAGATGACTACGTATCTGCACTTATAAAGGTAAGTTTGACTTTAGTTCTTCAGGGCGTCCATTATTGATTTTGCTCTCAATGCTTTTTTTAAAAGCCCACAAAATATGAGTGTTATGAAGCTTTATTTTATCTGGCTGCTTTTTCTGATAAGTTGAAAGTTTTTAACCTTAGTATTTTGCTTTTTTTGGCTTTACACAAAAGCTTTCAGCTCTCAGCTGTGTGTCTGTATTTTGCAGTATCTGTTTGCCCTTCTGATGACTTTTTTTTCTGGTACCGGGCATTGAACTCAGGATCTTGTGCTTGCCAGGCAGGTGCTTATGCCGCTAAGCTACGTCCCTGGCCCTTGATGCTGTTTTCATGTTTGTAGCGATTTTACTTTTCCATTTTCTCCATAACCTTTGCCAGCTCTTTGTTTTTGAGCTATTTCTTCAGAGTGGCATATTTTTTTATCAAAACATCCACCCATTTCATCAGCTTAGCGGTATAACTTCAGGTACATATCTTTATTTATCTGCCTATAATCAGTCATTTTTCTTCCTTCCTGTCCTTTTGTGCAGATCCCTTCCAGTCCTCTGCAGATCACCTTTCACCTTACAAAGGGCCACTCCTCGTGTGCCAGCCGGGTGCTGATGCCTGCTCTTGGGAAGGAGCTCAGATGTTGTCTTGGGTGTCTGTCATATTTCTGCATCTTGCTGCGTGTGTGTGAGATTGCTCTTGCCAATACTCCACTCTCAGGCCCAAGCAGGCTGTCTAACTGCTCCTCACATCATGCTGTAGCATTTTAAATCCTTTCATTGACTCTGATCGGCAGCTGGCTTAGTGGTCAAGAGTTCAGGCTCAGGAGTGGGGTGGTCTAGCTTCAAATTCTGGCCTCCCTACCTTCAAGTCATATGCTGTGGAACAACTTGTTTAACATTTTGTATCTCAGTTTCTCCACCAGAGAAATGGGAGAAGAGTTTCCATCCCCCAGGGCTACTATGAGGACTTTTTTTGGTCTTTCTGTAATTGTTTTTTAGTTGAGGGTTATTTTTGGTTTTGATGCTGAGGACCAAACCCCGGGCCATAGCTTGCTAGGCAAGTGTTCTGCTGAACTAAATTCCCAGCCCATGCTTTGAGGATTAAATGAATGCATACCCTCAAGAAGAATTTATTTATTTATTTATTTATTTATTTATTTATTTATTTTGGTGGTACCAAGGATTGAATTTAGGACCTTGTGTTTGCCAGGCAAGAATTTATTCCACTGAGCTATCTCTCCAGCCCCCTAGAAGCATTTAAATATCATCCAGCACATTATCGTTTAGAGTGGTGAGTGCTGTGGCAAACACCAGTTCTTGTTCATAACCATGCTGAGTGATTGCTTTCAGCAAAGATGGCGTGTCCATATGTATTAGTGCTCAAGCCCGCCACCCCTGCTCCCTGCCCAGTTTTGATTCCACTGTGCTCTGTAGCCCCTCGAGACACCCAGTGGTTCTGGCCCAAGATTATTTTCAACTTCTTTCAAAGATGGTTTCCCTTCTAATGGTTTCCTCTTTGCCTCTAAAAGGAGACCAGGACAGAGGCGCTTTGCTCCTGAAGATATCTAGAAAGGAAGTGTATGTTACTATTTTTTTTTTTTTTTTTTGTGGAACCAGGGATTGAATGTATGTTACTATTTGAAAATGAAATTAAATTTAAATCAGGAGTTTTGTCCTGAAGTCATTGCATCCCTTCCTGCTTCCAGCTGTCACGTGTTATCCTGCACTCAGCAAACACATATTGAATGGTTACCTAGAGCCAGAGTCACTAGAGATGACCACTGCTAAGTGGTGTGTGGTGACTCATGGAGTTGCTGTCTCCTGGAGAGATAAGTCCCTGGTACATTGGGCAATGTAGAGCAGAATGCTAGAGGACCCAGCTCCATGACCAGTGTACCACACATGGCGATGTAGACCAGTCAGCCACTCCGAAACAGGCCTTGGAAACGACGTGCCTCAGCTTCCCTCCTCTCAGCCCTAGAGCAGCATTTGTGGGCTCTGCCTCCTCCAGAGGCTATTTATTTATTTATTTATTTAGTATCAGGAATTGAACTCATGACCTCGTGCTTGCCAGGGAGGGGCTGTGCTGCTGAGCTGTATCTCCAGTCCAGGCCCATTTACCTGGTAGGCAGCACAGATAGTGTCATCGTCTTGCTGTGACCTAGTGACAAGAGAGCCAGGAGGGACTTCTACAGGTCTGATGTGTTCTAAAGAAAGTGATGGTTGCAGGTCTTTGAAGATTTCTGGGTGAGCTGGAAGGGGTGCGGGGATGGGTGGGTGGAGAGACAGTATGTATGTATAGTCTAGGTCCTTTCCCTCATGAGGGGAACAACAGATGTACCATCCGGAGGTGTGAGGAGACTCAGGGCGGGTGAAAGGGAAGCAGAAACTACTTTGAATGGAGGCTGAGTCTCCTCTTCCTCTCCTGCTGCCTCTCTTCCAGGTCTGCTCTTTCCTCAACTTTTTAGTGTCACAATTAAAAAAAATTAGGGCCAGCCAAATAGCTCAGTGGATTAGAGTGCCTGCTTAGGCACACACAATGGCTGGGGTTTGATACCCAGGCCTACCCTGCCAGCCCCACCCCTGGGGTGCTCTGAGACAGCGCGTGGTGGTGTGTGCCTGTAATCCCAGCACTTGGGAGGCTGAAAACAGGAGGATCACTATGAGTCCAATCTAAGTAGTGAGACCCTGTAGACCCTGTTCTAAACAGAATTTTAAGAACTAAACCTGTAATATTTTCTTTATTATATAATCTGGAAAAAAAGTTTTTAAACTGCAGAACCAGATACCATCTATGATTGCCTTTACTATGTGAACCATGTTCAGTCTTTCTTGACTTAAAAGTGGATTATTCATTTATTTAGTTCATACGGGGGATCAAACTCAGGACATTGTGCTTACCGGGTAAGTACTTATGCCGCTGAGCTATATTCTCAGCCCAAAACTGGATTATTTAAAAGAAAAGATAGTACACCAGTGACTCTTTGCATACCTGGAACAGTACTGAAGACAGAATTTCCCCTATGGTCAAACAGATCTGATTTCTTTGCTTGGGGATGGTCTACTGAGAGGCACCATCTTTCTGTTTTTTGTTTTTTTCCTGTATTTAGGACAAAGTCTGTAGGGTCTACAGGGTCTCACTACGCAGTGGTTCTCCTGTTTTCAGCCTCCCAAGTGCTGGGATTACAGGCGCGTGCCACCACACCTAATCTCAATTGCCATCTCAGCGTGTCCCATGGGCGGGCCAGCAGGGCACACTGGGGTTCGAACCCCAGCTGCTGCGCTCTGCCTACATGGGTGCTTTAGTCCGCTGAGCTATCAGACCGGCCCTCTTTCTGTTGTTTGAGATGAGAGTGATAAGGGTATGTTCTCCTGGAAGCAGGAAGGAGCCAAGAGAGGGGAATGGGAATGGCCAGGAGGGTGTGGGTAGTCTGAACGCCATCTGTAATCAGGTGGCAGAAGGGCACCGCTTAAACTGAAGGTAGGATAAAGAGTGGGTGAGGCTTGCTTGGAGTGTGAGCAGAAGTGGAGCACACTCCCATCTCACATTTTCTTTGTGATTTATAGGAGGTGAGATTAAAGGGACATGAGGAGGGAGGGAGGTGTGGCTGTCATCCCAGGGCAAGTGGAGCAGGATGGACTACAACATGAGTCAGAATTCTGTGGGGTGAGGCGGCTCATAGGATCGCTGAGGAGACAGGGGAAGAGAAGTGACCGGGGTCACTGCCAACCGCTGCTCATCTGACCGATGGCAGAGCTGGGTGGCCCGTCAGCCATGTGCCTCCTTCAGGTGGACATGATCTCCTGGGAGGAGCTTCGTGAGCCGAGACCAGCCTTGGCACGTCCAGCCAGAACACTGGAGACTTCAACCTCGGTGTTGTTTTCTAAAATCCCTGCAGGATAAGCATGTATCGCAGGACTAGAGAGGGAAGTTACGTGTGTGCCGTCCACTTCCAAATGCTCCACTGCAAGTGCCACTATTCTAGCTCTTTTTATCACTTGGGTAATTTTGAGAAATGCGGCACCGAGATTTTTCAAATGCTTGTATAGGGCACTGTTCACAGCAAACTCTCCACATAGCCGTGTAACTGAGCTTCAGACAAATTAGGTATGAAAAAGCCAGGGGCGTTCAACACATTGTGGGTGGAAATCAACTACAGTTCTCATGTCAGCCAGCTTTACTCGGTGCTGTGAATTCAACCCAGGTCCTGGAACATGCCAAGCACATGTTTTACTGCTGAGCTATGCCTTCAACCCCAGGCCCTTTTTCAATCATAAAATCCTTTTTAAAAAATTAAAATATATATATGGTACAGGGTAGCTACACAGCTCAGACTTGAAGTGCCTGAGCCTTCTCAGGGCTGAGATTACAGGCATGCACTACCACACCTGGTTTTGGTGGCTGGTGGGACCGCATGGCATGAAGTACCTGGAATCGAACCCAGGTCCTTGCACTTGCCAGGCAGGAGCTTAGACCACCGAGCTATCTTACCAGCCCCATAAAATCATTTAAAAAGAAGAAAATTTATTCATTTAACTGAAAAATCGTAGGAGTGCCACTGGCTGCCTGTTTTTACCCCCTACTCCAAATGTTGCCTTCTGCTACATTGGCTTTATGCTTTAGAGCTCTTTTCCTGTCCTAGTAAGAATGGCTGTGGCCTTCAAGATTAGCAGCCCTAGCTGAAGGCTTTGGCTAACCTTCCTTCCTCTTCCTGCTGTAGAGGGAGCACTCCGCAGAGGCAGGCAGCCTCGGGATGCACTGGAGGGAAAGATGGGCAGCAGCGCACTGATTTCTATCATCATGACCAATGGTGATGCACTGGGTGTCCAATGAGCAAAGTAAGGACACTGGGGTGGGGTTTAAGGTGGAAACACTTCTAGGTTTGCATTTAAGAAACTCTCTCTGGTTGTTGGTGGAGAGACTGTGCAGGGAAGACTGGACAGAAGAGGCCTGTGGAGGGGCCACTGCAGGAGTCAAGGGTGCTGGCAGGGTCCAAGGTGCTGGTGGAGGAGCCAGAGAGGAGGAGGTGGACCCAAGAGATAGCTGAAGATGGATTCAGGGCCTGACTGCACCTGAGGGTTGCAAACGCCTTCCTAAAGCCTTCTCATCCCTTTCCTTCTTACCTCTTGCCACTAAGTCATTTTGAAACAATGTGACTTCCTCCTCATTACTGTTGCCGCAGAAACAAGACAATGGGGTGCCATCAGAGTGTTTGTGATGAGCATGGGCCACATTCCTCAGGCATCCCCTCCCTGAACCTCCACTCCACCCTTTGGGGTGGCCACAGTTGCTGTCCTTATTCATGGGCTGGAAGAATGAAGTATAGAGAAGAAGTTACCTGTCCAGGTTTACACAAGATCACGTGCCATGGGTGATGTCAGCACCAGCAAAAATACCTTAAATGATGGGTTTTGAAGTCTCTGGGCTGGTGAAGATGTGGGGCTGCTGGCAGGGTCGCTTCCCCACAGAGGACTTGGGAACACCCCTACCTTGACCTGAGCAACCCTTTCATTTGGGCATTTCTGAAATGTAACCTTTATAATAAATCATTAATATTGAGGAAACCATTTTCTTGAGTTCTTTGTCCCATTCTAGTAAATTATAGAACCCAAGAGGGAGTTCATTCTTCAGAAATGGGGGTAGTCTGGACAGCCCTTTGCAGCTGGCGTGTGAAGTGGGGAAATCTTTAGAGCTGACCCTTTAACATGTGGGATCTAGTGCCAGTTGGTGGTGAACCATATCAAAATTGAATTAAATTGGGGGCTGGGGAGATGGCTCAGTGAAATAAGTGCTTCCTTGGCAAGCACAAGGGCCTGAGTTCAATCACTGATTCTGAAAAAAAAAAATTGAATTAAATTATTGGGGGGCCAAGGAGATGGCTCAGTAGAATAAGCACTTCCCTGGCAAGTGCAAGGGCCTGAGTTCAATCCCTGGTTCAAAAAAAAAAAAAAAAAAAAGAAAAAAAAGAAAAAGAAAAGAAAAAAAAAATTATTGGGTACCCATCCAGGGTCCAAAAATTGGAAGACCAGTTCATATGAGGAGAAATGCTACATATTTTGTATCAGAAACAAAGCTATAGGTGTGGAGACTTTTAGGGATACTTAAAAATATTCAAAACTGTGACTTTATTGAGATTACCAAGAGATATGGATAATTTTATCAAAAGTGTTCTTTCTCCAAAATAGATACTCTTTTTTTAAAATTTGGAAATTAATTGAAGCTTCATGTTATTGCCCTGCCTTGGCCCCTTTCCACCCCCGCCTAGACTCCAGATAACTGCCTCTGTCTCTGCTCAGGGCATGTTTGTGTTTCAGGTGCCATCTTCCTCAAGAGTGATGGGAAGGGCAGCAGCTGACCGTTCTCTTCCTGTGAAGTGAAGGAAACTGACTGCTTTCTTCTCCTTGCAGAACACATTCAACATCCCTACTGAGAAAGCATTTCTTGATGTATTTCTGCCCAATGGAAGAAGCATTAATGTAGAAATTCTAACGTCAGCTACTGCTGAAAGAGTCCTAGAGGTAAGCTTTGTTTAAACTCTGACTCCCAGCCAAATTTAGGGAAAAAAATCTGCTTGAAAGGCAGGGACTGGGCTGTGGCCACCTTCAAGCAGCTTCCTGTCTACAGTTTTACAGTGGATGGGTTATCTGTAGGAGGTGCTGGGGTGCAGGAGATGGACCCAAGAACCCAGGCTACAGCCAGTTCTCTGGGCCTCCTTGATTTTACCTGCTCTCTGGGTCAGTGCTTCTCGAGGGCCTCAGAGGACCTTTCTGAGGCTGCTGTCCCACTTTCCTGGCACATAGTCAGGATGTGGCCCAGACACACTCACTATGCTTCACTCTGGGAGCAATAAAGAGGGTGTTGATTTTGGAACAGGTTATATCCAAGTGGGTCATGACAGGGCCTGGCAGAGAGTAACAAGAACTTCTCAAAGGCCTTGTGGCAGGCTGAAGGCCCATCCTGCCTGGCCACCTGTCTCAGTAGAGCTGCCTGTGGCCCTGGATTAGGAAATACACCTTCTCCAAATTGTGGTCCTGCACAGAACTACTGTTCCTTTCACTTGTGGAGGTTCAGTTTTGTGTCTCAGCCATGAGAAATTAACTAAGATATCTGATTGAAACATACAGTCTAGGGCCAGGGAGATAGCTCAGTAGAATAAGTGCTTGCTTGGTAAGCACAGGGTCCTGAGTTCAATCCCTGGTACCACAGAAAAAAAGAAAAAAGAAATATACAGTCTCTACGTATCAGAACAACACATGGTACTCTATAATGGTATAATGTTTATGTGTCATTTTTTTTTAAAGGCCGGAAGTGCGAGGAGATCATTTGCATTGGTTAATCTTACAGAGGGCCTGGCCCAGAGCATTGGGAGGGGAGGGAAGCAGCCTGTTGTGTTGTGTAAGTTCCCATCAAGGGAGGGTCAAAGAAGGTCAAGTGTTGAAGGTCATATGTTATGGCCTGGTGACCGAGTGTTGCTTGGTGAAGAGGAAACTGCTGGTGTTGAAAAGAAAGCCAATTGACAGCACCATCCAAGAGGAACACAGAAGGAGACAGCCCATGCCTGAGGTCTGTAGTCTTCACCAAACAAATGTCATAGTAAATTATACTTAACCATCCCAGGAGCTTCAAGAAGTAGGCCTGGGTGTCAAATGGCCTTTCTTTCAAATGCCCCTGGTTTTCAGGTCCCAGGGACAGATGTGACAGAGGACAGGTGTTTCTAGAGAATGGCTGCTGCCCTCTAGAGACATTGGGAACCAGGGGCATTGAGTGCTAAAGTAGGTAAGTGTCCACAGCTGATAGAGGACAGCCAGCCTCCATGGAGGTGTTCATTGTAGTAGAACTGGTTTTATTTGTTTCAGTAATTTTTTGTATTTCTGTTTTCTAAAATGGGTTTGTACCATTTTTAGATTCCAAAAACATTCCAGGTGGCCCAGGAGAAAACTCAGTCCTCTTGTGTCTGGGTCACTTCCCCTCTGCACGTCACCACCAGAGAGGGTGGTTGGCATCCTAACAGTCCTCCTTCTGCTTGTGTCTGGTTTAGGTGGTGTCGTACAAACTCAGACTGAGTCGGGAGCTCTTGGGCTACTTTGGCCTCTTTCTCATTCGGTTTCACAAGGAGGGAGGCCTGTCTGGTAAGAACCACGAGGGAAGCCTGGAGGTGGGGAAGGCATGCATGGGCAGGGGTGTGGCGATGTGGGAGGCTCAGCTGCGGGACTGGTCACTCACCCAGGCTGTGGTCCGTGGGCCACTGTCCGCAGCCCTGAATCAAAGGTTGGGGGGAATGGAAGGTCAGGGATGAGCAGCGCCACAGTCAGGAGTGAGGCCGCCTGTTGTCCTTCACATGTGCTCCTCTTGTGCAGTCCTGGCACCTGCCCTCCCCATTCCCAGGCCTGGCCACAGGCATGCCACAGCCTCTTGGTAGGGAAGTGTTAGGTGCCAGGTAGTGTGACATCCTGCCATAGCACAGTGTCTCCTTGTTAAAGGATATGTGCCATGAAATGCGGCTGATATAAAAATGCTCTGATTGTTAAAGAGCTGTAGTGAGATAAGGAAAGATCTACTCTAACTTCCATGGCTGCTGCTTTTCTCTCCAGTGAGCTCTCCAGCTGTTATGCCTTTTACCTGTGAAATGGCATCAGGTATCTTAAAGTAGTGTTTGTGTGTCCTCAAGAAGTGCCTGGGAGGTGGTTTTGTGTTGGAAGTTGGTTTTGGGGTTTTGAGCTAGAACTCAGGCGATTTGGATATGGTGTAGGCCTGGGACCTGAGTTGTGCTGGCCAAAGTGCTAGATGTTTCTGGGCCTATTTCTTCATCTGTATCACAGGGTAAATTATCCTAACCAAAAGGATGAAGTTTGCTAAAGACCATGTAATATTTACTTTTTAAATGAATTTCAGAAAGCTAAAATGGCATACACACTCAAGAGACTATTTTGATTGTGATCTTCCCCTCCCCCCGTGATAGCTTACTTTCTACTCTTAGCACTTCTATATGTAAACTCTGCACAGTTTCAACCAATCAGACTCTCTCTTTCTCCAGTTGTGAAAAAGCTGGCAGAGTTTGAGCTGCCTTATGTTAGTCTTCGAAGTTCAGAAGTGGAAAACTGTAAGGTTGGACTCCGAAAGTGGTGAGTACTTACAACGACAGAAACCAGTAGTGACCAGGACTTGTTAGAGACCCCACGATTGGCCCACAGCTCAACAACTGGGCAGAACTCAACCAGAAACAAAGGGAAGGTTAAGAGTAAAGTAACAAGGAAGAGAGGGGGTGAATGAACCACAGCATTTGTCCTAAAGTATAGGACATCAAGGTTGACTTCCACTCCTCGATTCTCACCTCTCCTGAGAAGCTCAAGCGAAGGGCAGACTTGAGAGATGGCTGGAGTGAGCGGGGTGGATTGAGGCAGAACCTGGCAATAAGCTGCTGGCCATGGGCTTGCTGTGGTGTGGACGATACTCACTACTCATGGAAAGATTTCTTGGAAATTTCAGGCAGATCGGATTTAGCTGTTGAAATGTGGTATTCTTTGTAGGCAAGGCTGGACTCTGCCAATTTGCGATGGATTTGATTTGAACTCTTACATTCCTAAAGGATGTGTACCTGGGTCATTTGTCCTCCTACATTGATAGGACACAAGTGCCCCTCTAACGAAAATACTGTCATTTCCACTGGAACAGGAGGACTAGTGGAAATTAGCAAGAAAATGACAGTGAGGCACACAGCACTTACCCCACCCAATCCTCTATCACAGCAGCTATTAGCACAGCTGTCTTGGATTGCTGCCCCAACCCCGTTAGTTTAGAATCAGAGTATAGCAGCTTTAAAGAAGGACATTTGGAAATGTAGGAATAGTCATTAACGTGATGTCATGGTGCTTGCTAGAACTCCAGTTGGGGCTTTGATTTTTACAAGGATATCCTCTGCAAGGCTAGAAGTCTACCTTCTATTATGCAGAACTATTAGGAGAAGAGGCGCACATCTCTCTTTGCCATGAGACATGGAAGGGGGAGAGGACCTGGCTCCATCTAGGGTTTAGAGAATAACTTCTGGAAGAGCAAGCACCAGAGCACAATCGTTCTTGGGAACAGACTATGCCAATAGGAGGCCCATCTGTCTCATGTTTTACCTTTATCACCCTCACCAAGCTATTCAAGGCTTCCTTGCCTCAATTTCTTTATTTATAAAATTGTAATAATAAATAATACGTGTTACCCCCTAAGATTATTATGAGTAACTCTACAAACTGTTTTGAGGATGCGTGTTATTGTCATATTGATGACAGTGATGTTTCTAGTAACCAAAAATTCCCTGGCGTCGAGACTTTTCATTTGTGTGCTCTCCTGAGAACTCGAGATCAAAGGTGAGGTGCAGCATTGCCTTGAATCTTAAACTAGATATTAGGGAGCCTTGCTCTATGTATTTGTTAAATAGGCAAATTCTAGATAATAAGTACAAGAGAAAATGTTTTCCCCAGCACAAGCCAACATCTCAACCCAGGCAGATTGATCCTTTGCTCATGGCTCTGGAGAGGAGGGAGGCCCACTTCTGTTGCCAGTGATGAGGGGCAGGTCTCTGGAAGTGGACAGCCTCATATAGCAGCCCATGGTGCCTCAGATGGGAGAGGACTGGTTACAAGAGCTTCATGAGTCCAGCGGATCTTTAAGGATTTTTCTCCTTCACAACATCTCTCTCCATTGAGGCCATAGTTCCTTCTACACAGAGGGCACTTGCCCTGGGCCCTTCACACCCAGCATCAAATGAACCTGGGCTCTCCAGCTCTCTAGTGCCACAGTTGCTACTCTGTGCGATGTAGCTGGCTCAGCGCTATAGGCAAATAGCTACACAGAAAGGTATAGGGATGTCTTTGCTTCTGCCCAAGATGAAGGTGACCTTCCAGTAGCATTTTAATCTTTTCCCTAGAAGGCTAGCAGAGAAGGAGGCAGGAGAAAAGACCCACATGTGCCACTGGCAGTGTCATCGAAGTCACATAATGCTCCCGCCTTGTGCAGGTACATGGACCCAGCCCTCGACTCCATGCTGATGCACTGCGGAGTGGCTGTGGAATTGCTTTACATGCAGGTGAGCAGACTGCATTAGAGGCTGTTTGGTTTACAATTGTCTAAAAGATTATAGTACTTAGGAAGTCTATCTCAAAACCTAGAATAGGCAGAGGTTCAGAGAAAAAAACTAGAATAGAGGCTATTTGGTACTAGAGGAGAGGAAAAGGGAAAGTTACTGTGCCCTGGGTCTAGAGTTTTTGTTGGGGCATAATGAAAAGTTTTGGTATAGATAGTGATAGAGGTTACATGGCACTGTGAATGCATCCAGTGCTGTCTCATCTCTACTTATGAATGGGCAAGGTGGTGATAAATGTTGCATTATACATATTTTAAAAACAAAAATAAAATTAGAGGAGTTTGGAGAGCGGAAAAATGAGCTCTCCCCCTATTTTAAGCACTACTCTCTTGAGTTTCTAGGTGACGCTCTTATCATCCAGGGCAGTGGTAGTGAGCCTACAGCATGTGTGTCATAGCAGGCCGTTTGTTAACATTGAAAGCTCTAAAAGGTTTGCCATCACTGGTGTAGGCTAATTTGACAGCCCTGGAAAGGATATCTCTGCTAACATAGGTTACACATGCTCCCTAAATCTCACTCCAGCATAACCTGTTTTTCTTTGAGTCAACAGGTGGTCACCTGCTCCAGGCTGGCTTCGTGAGCATGTGGTCTCTGTAGTTGCTTTGGGTCCTGGACTTGTTCATTGCTTTATCTTGAAATTCTTAATAGCCTTTGCAGAAGTGGCCCAGCAGTTTAAATTTGCACTAAGTAAGCTCTGCAAATCATATAATTGGTCCTGCCCACAGTCTGACAGCACCTGTGGACGTGCCCACACAAATGTGCTTTCTTGTCTCTCCCAGCTAGCATGATATCTCTGTGATATTTACAGCTCAGTGCTGGGTCCTAGAATTTAGAACCGTCCTGGCACATAATGGACACTAGAGCCCCCTGTTGAGCCAGGCGCTGTTTCATTGAAGAGTTAGCACTTAATGTTAACTCTGTAAGGTGTTTGGTACCCTCTACATTTCAAGAAAAGAGAAACTTCAAGTCTGCTGACAGAGGATGGGGTAGCTCTGGCGTGGGTGACTAGAAGATGTACAGTTTAACAATACCCCCTTCCAGGTAGCGTTGATGTAATTGGAAGGTAGAACTGAAGAGGGAATAGATGTTGGGTGAGTCATTACTTTTAATGAGCTCTTCAAGGCAACAGGAAACATTAATGATATCTGCCATAGTGCTGAGGTTGTGGCTGAAGGGTTGGTGGGTGGAATTTGATGCTTACATGTCGTGTAAAGTGGAGGGAGGAAAGAACCTGAGTGCATATTCGCTTAGGCAACTTAGGAAACCAACACCGCTAATCAGTCACCTCCTCATAGCTCTTTAGAATTCTAAGGAGACAATCAAAACATCACATATTAAACATTGAATATTCACTATCACATTTTTATGACTAATCTGTAGCTTGAGTTCATTTCCTATTATACTTTAGCCATGCATGTTAATGTCGAGCGAACGTCCACGCATGTCACGTGAGTTGGAAATGAATTTACCATCTTCAGTGTTTATTGTGCCTTGTTGCCAGTGTGCCTTTGCTATCATTTTGCATTATCAGTTGTGTCTGGTTTGAGTCACATCCTTCGTTGAAGAACACATCACCTTAATCTAACATTGTCACTATGGGAAACATAGTCTGTGGCATGGCTTCAAGTTCTCATTGTGATGAGAAATTAGGACTGCCGGCATCGTAACATGATTTTTATGTATCATTAGGAGTTGTAAACCAGAGAGAAGTGGATGATTGTATTTCCTGTGTCATAGCTGGAAAATAATGATGGCTTTGAGAAAAGCATACTGTACTACAAATTTCTGAAGTGAATCCTGTCCCTTACTCTGCCTGCCACTGCGCTCTCTCCACATGATGGTGGGTCAACCACTTCCCCCTTTAAGCCACCACGGGAGCAATAAGTTTGAATTAACAGTCTCTTAAAGTTTTCTTCCAGCTTTAATGAACTGTTTTTCAAGCCTCATCTCCTTGTATGGCTAAGTCTTCTGAAAATTGCAGTCAATGTCATCATTAACTACATTGACCTTAATCAACCCCTGAATCCATATAGAGGTGCTGGAAGTTAAAGATTGGCCCACGATTAGCAGGACAGTCAGGGCCACCATCCACTGCCCCCTTTGGGAGCCCTCCTGTGGCTCCCACCAAGAGAAAATCCCCCTCCCTCTGCTGTAGTATTTTGCTAAGATCCCCTATGACGGCACTTCTCATCTTGTGTGGTCAATAAGTAGGTTCATGGACAGTTCTCCCTAGCCAGCCTGTGTCCTAGGTGCCTAGCACATTCATGAGCAAGCAGCAGTCATCCTTTAAAGGAATTAATGCAAGACCTCATGAGTTCTGATGAATAACAGAACACTCATAGTTAACTTCTAAGAGTTACCCTTTTGATTTTTCTAATACAGCTGTGCCCAGTGATGCTCAAGGAGTTGACATGTTTCCCTTATTCTCCTCCTCCTCTTTGAACTTGAGTGACATTAGCAAAATGAGGAATTCCATATAAATAGATAGATAACAGATTGCAGATAGATCTCTGTGTTTTCTTGAAAATATCAAAGATTTAGTTAATTCTGGCCTGACATTTCAGTATGGCCACCACTAATCCATCAAGGAACTTTGGAAAAACTTAGAAAGAGGGGCAGCCTGCATTCTCCAGGCAGCCTCACTGTGTGACAGGGCCTGTGCTTTGGGGAGAGAAGTGCTGGCTGATGACGCTCCAGCTGATGCCCTTGTGCCAGGCATGGTTCCCTGCCATTCTGTGCCATGCTTCAACCAACCAGAGCCCAATGGCAATGCCTTTCTTGGAAGCGCCCTTCACCCAACCAGAGCCCAATGGCAAGGCCTTTCTTGGAAGGGCCAATGATCCCATATCTCATGACTGCCTTCTGCAGAGAGCATCAGGGCATGTGTGACCAACACTCATGAAAACCATGGCTGTGTTGCTTCTGCCATAGGACATCTACATTTCAGGGTCTGAGGATCTCAAGTCCTCTGGTGAAGAATGAGAAGTCTTGGGTCAATACTGCCATGATTGCTATTTGTCTTCTATATTAGAGTTCTCTAGAGGAACAGAGTTAATGGGAGACATATGTATAATTCTACAAGTGGGTTTAGCAGGTAGGGTCACAGGATCAGAGGTGGCAAAGTCCACAATGACCAGCTGTGTCCTAGAGAGCCAAGGGTCCAGTAGCTGCTCAGCCCAAGAAGATGAAATCTGTGGACAATAGGAACCATGGATGCAGCACTAGCTCAGGGTTGGACCACTGTGAGTCTGCACTGAAAGGCTGAAGAAACTGGAGCCCTCATCCAGAGGCAGTTGTGAAGACCAGAGCTCTTCAGAACTGGGCACGCTTCCTTCTTTCCCTTTGCACACCATCCACACTGCAATCCTATTGGTTGGTGCCACTCATATTCAGGATGTGCCTTCATGCCTTGATTTGCTGACTTACATGTCAGTCACCCATAGACACACACAAAACAACCCTTTACTAATCTGCTGGGCATTCCTTCCTACATTCAAGTTGGTGGAGTGGGATGAACTCCATGTCCTGTTTGTTTAATCAAACTCCCTGATTGATATTGTCCTGGGCTGATAGTCCCTGTAGGCTCTAGCACTAAGCCCAATTCAGGAGGGATAAACAATTTTAGATCTTTGGGCTCACTTGGATTCCATCCTGGCATGGTTTTTGGGTTCACTTTGCAGAAGAGGTGGGACAAAAACAGCTGGATGGTGGACTGTGGAGGACCACCTGAGCAGCTCTCCTTGAAAGAAGAGCGATTGTCTCCATTGTGACTGAGCCTGACCCTATTTCTTTGTATTATTATGTACAGAGCTGGCTAGGACTTCTGTTTATCTTTCAGTTGGCCTTAAGCAATGTGTATTGGTCTAGCTGAGGTGCTGGTGATAGTCTTTGAAGGTGGCGTGCGTGTTTCCCTGGTAACCTATACCTGCTGCTCTTTAATGTGAGCTGGGTTGAGATAGGACGGTAGAGCTAATGCTCTGCGGTACCAGCTGGGATTGAGCCTCAAGATAGAGGCCATGACTTCCTGGGACTTGAAAGGCTACACCAACGCTGAAGCACCAGACTTACCAAGACATTACATACTATATAATGCAGATTACTCTCTCTGCATATCCTCTCTGCATATCACAGAGGTAAATTTAGGCCACCCACCTAGCTCAGCTCATAGTAGTCTCTTTCCCACAATTCTCAGTCAATCCTCAAGCCACTCACCCACTGAATAAAACTGGGTGATGCCCTGGGTCGCTCTCTTGGTTCCAGAAAGCCATCTTCATAGCTGGACTTAGAGCCCCTTGACTCCCCAATGATTGAAGATATAATTTAGTGTCTTTATTTTCGCCATGGGTTGCATTGTAAGTGGTAGATTGGAATCAATTTGATGGGATTCCAATAACGTAACTTTGGGATTATAAATATTGGCTTCTTGGACCGAGACGAGGACCTGGAAGTGTCTCCTGCAGTGGGTAGCTGCCCACCTGGGAAAAGTACATCAGCTTGGGCAATGCTAGGAGGGCTTGGTGTAGACACCAGACCCAGCTTGAATCTCACTCCTGCCACTTACTTGCTGGGTCTCCATTAGGATGAGGAACCTCCCCCACCTCAATTTACCCATCTGTAAAATGATGGTAATTATTCCTACCCCACAGACTAGTTGTGGAAAAGCCAATAAAACCTATCTAAAGTAGATTACTAACATACTATTTTTCTTCCTTTTTCTAAATCCTATATTCCTTTCCCCCAACCTGAACAACAGTATCAAAAATGTTTTAGTTTTCATCCTCCTCTTGGCGATAAGGCACGCCCTGCCAGGCTCCCTGAGAGCGGGAAGGCAGACTTCTGTGCAGACCAAGGTGCACAGGCGCACAGGGCTGTCGCGCGAGTGCTAGTGCGGGGCACTGAGAGAAGGGCACAAGTTCTTCACGTGGGGATTGACAGTCGCTGGGGCGCACACTTCCCAGTCAGGCCGAGTCATGGCAGCACCAGCTCCCTGTGTGCAGCCGATGACCCGGTCAGCTTGTGCCAGCGCCTGCTGGGCCGGCTTGCTCCAAGGCAAAGACTCAGTTTGCTGGAAGAAGCGATGTGCAGGGAAACCGTGGAGGGAGCAGAGCGAAGGCTTGGTTACTTCAGCTCTACGAGGATCCTGGCCGCTTCCGAGGGACCCTTGTCCTCCAAGTAACTCCTGCCTTTGAGCCTGGCGCTGCTCTGCTGAAATCTGTGACAGCGGAGGAAACAACCAAGAAGCCAGTAGGAATCTGGAGCTGGGAAACATTTGCTGAGTACACTTAGCTGAAGCTGAGCAGACAGGGCCCAATGATATGCTCTATTTTAGGGGTTTTTTTTGTTTGTTTGGTGAAACTGGGGATTGAACTCAGGCCCTTGTGCTTAACAGGCAAGCACTTATTCTACTGAACTATCTCCCCGACCCTCTATTTTAGTTTTATAATGTTAGATTTCTTTTCATCTTATAAAAAATTTACAGGGGCCAGAGAGATAGCTCAGGGATTTAAGTGCCTGCCTGGCAAACACAAAGGCCTGAGTTCTATCCACTATACAATATATAATATACTATCATATATATCAAATATGGAAGACTCAAAAACAAACGTGTATGTCACCCTGGACTTTAAACCAGCACATTAGCTCTTTAAAAATAATTTTTATTTATTCATTTGGTACAGGGTCTCGCTATGCAGTTCAAAATCCTAGAGACCCTCCTGTCTCAGCCACCCCAGCACAGGGATTATAGGTGTGCTCCACTACACTGGATTTCTCTGGTTCCGGCATGGCATGTGGTACCAGGGATTGAACTGGGGTCCTTGTGCTTGCCAGGTGGGCACTTAGATTGCCCAGCTATCTCCCCAGCCCCAGCTAATTACCTTCATACTTAGACTGTTAACTTTTTTGGAAGAAATATGTATATATTCATTCATACACATATATATTCATTTATATGCACATCTGTTTCTTTAATTCATAACTATATATAGAAAGTTTCTTTGGTTTTATATTGTCATTGTTGAAAAGTTGAGGTCTACTATTATAGTCTTATTTTATAACTTGATATTCCTTTTATGTATCAGTACCTAGCAGATTTCCCCCACGTTGTTAAATATTCTATATGCTTTTAAATGATGGCATTGCCTATTATTTGGTTATATGCAAATTCAGTTACCTTTGGACCCTTCAAAACAGCATCTATCTCTCAGGGTTGCTACAGCACTGACTTCTGTTTTAGGTAATTAGAACATTCCTGAGCTATGGTAAGTACTATCCAGTCATCCTGCAGGGCCCACAGGGCTTTGGACCAGGACGCCCTGTGACACCAAAACCCAGAGATGTTCAAGTCCTCTATGATGCTGTAGTGTTTGCATAGGATCTGCCACATTCTCCCATATAATGTCAGATATGATGAAATTGCTGTGTAAATTAATTGCTGTTCTGTATTGATATGGGGGAATAAAGTTTGTCTGTGTTTAGTACAGATGCAATTCCTGAATACTTTCCATCCATAGTTGGTTTAACCCACGGAGGTAGATCCCATGGATACAGAAGGAAGCTAATCTACTTTTTCCCCCATTGCTAAGTTGAAAATTTGTTGTTATTACAAAAATACAGTAATGGCTCTATCAATATATTTTCCACATGTCTATTTCTATGATTTTTGCACATGGCTTAGATTTATATTGCTAAATTAGTTCTAAAAGTTTTACCAGTTAAGTCTATCACTCCTATAAGAATGTTCTGGGGACTGGGAAGACGGCTCAGTAGAATAAATGCTTGCCTGGCAAGTGCAAGGTCCTGAGTTCAATCCCCAGAACTGAAAAAAAAAAAAAAAGAAGAATTTTCTGGGTCCCCCAACACTTATCAATTCTAGTTGTATATTTTAGTCTTTGCCAAATTAAGAGGAAAAAATCCTTTTGTTACTATTGTGGTTGAATATCTATTTGTCACTTGGAATTCCTTCTGGTCAAATGCCAATGCATATCTTTTGTCCATTTGCCTGTTGGCAATTTTATATTTTTATTGCTTTCTATAAATATTAACTCATTGCCATACATGATGCAGTCATTTTCCTTGTTTTACCATTGCTTCTTAGTTTTGTTCTTGGTGAATTTAATATGTAGAAATTTATATTTTCTGTACTTATGCATGATAATTCCTTCCTCATACGTTTTTATCTTTGTATCTTAAAAAGATAGGCCCCACCCTGAATCAGACACATAGTAATCCTCCTGTTTTCCACCTCCCCAGCACTGGGATTACAGGCTCACACCACCACGCCCAGATTAATCTCATCTTTTTTGCCTAGTTCATTTGTGGAGGTTTTATAATTAAATCTTTAATTTCTGTGGAAGTTATTTTGATAGGTACCTTGAGGAAAGGGCTAATGTATTTTCTTTGCTGCATGTTACCGGTTGCCCCCCAATTATCAGACAACCTTTTCTTGCCCACTAATTTAAAAATGTTAGGGTCAGCCAAATAGCTCAGCGGATTAAAGCGCCTGCAAGCAGGCTCAGGGCTCAGGGGTTCAATCCCCAGGCCTGCCGCGCCTGCTCACCCCGGCCCCCTGGGGCATGCTGAGATGGCAATTGAGACTGGGTAATGCCAGCTCGTGGGAGGCTGTAAACAGGCGGATCACTGGGAGTCCAATCTAGTAGTGAGACCCTGAACACCCTGTAGACCCTTCCCTAAGATCCAGAAAAAAAAAAAAAAGGAACCTTTGTAATGTGGTAACTACTTGAAGAGATCCACTTTGGTCTGTTTTTACAGCCCTTCATACATGAATATGTTGTGGGGTTTTTTGTTGTTGTTGTTGTTTGTTTTTGTTTTTTTCTCCCCGGAACTGGGGATTGAACTCAGGTCCTTGTGCTTGCTAGGAGAGCACTTATTCCACTGAGCTATCTCTCCAGCCCCATGAAGATGTTCTTGTCAGATAATTCATTTCTGCTAAAGTTGCTCATTGTACAATTTATGTTGTTTTAAGGCAGTGCAGGACATTGAAAAAGAATGGATCAAGCCCACACAGGCACAGAGGCAGGAACTAGAGGCTCTTCAGAGAGAAAACAATCAAACCAAGGTGAGTGAGCTGCTGTGCCGAGACACCCATTGTGCTGGAGTGCAGGAAGCATCGGAAGTGGGTTGCTGTGGTCTCTATAAGCCCGTCAGATCCTAACAGCGAGGCTCTTTTTAAAAATGGGAATACCTCCATTGACTTTTCTGACTAGACAATGAATAAGGGCATTTTTTAAAAGATTCTAAAAAGTACAGAATATTGTGAGCGTTTTGCCAAGTTAATTGATATAGATCTCCACAATATTTTTAATGACTCCAGAGTATTTCATGATATGGTTGTGCTATCATTTAGCTTGCTAGTTTCCTATTATTGGAAGTCAGATTGTTTCCAGCTTCTGCTGCAATAAATCACTCTGGCAGCAAGGGCCACGAGGCCCAGGACTGTGTCTAATCTATACTCTCCATGTCCCTCACACCTGGTGCAGGTCCCCCCAACCCTGCAGCCAACATCTCCACATTTGAGTACATGCTCTGTTTTCCTAAGGAGCTATTTCTAAATGTCTGTTTTAAAGCTTTTATAAGGTACCAATGCATCCACCTCACACCCGCATGCAACATACATGAGGCTGGCGGCAAGACAGCTTGAGCAGAAGGAACGGTCCATGTCCCTTGTGCTGCTTTTTTTCATTCACCACATTTGCAATTGCAGCATTGATTTTGAACAAAATGTGACAAAAATTTAGAGGACTCATTTAGACTTAGGTTGATTAGAGAGTCATTCTTCAAAGGCCCAGACACTTGGAGATTTTTATTGGACAGGAAAAGGAAAGGAAGAAAGGAAAGGGAAAGGCACACCCTGCCGCAATTTAGTACTGCCCCAAACCTTGGGATTCCACCTCAGCTTTGTCACAAACAGTTTGAAGTTTAGTTTCTCTGTGTTTATAAATTTTGAAAAAATATAGCTTCTACTTTGATTGGTTTTGAACACTGGTTTTACTATGCTGCTTGGCTTTGCCAAAATATGTATATTTTTTGCACAGTATAAAATTTATCTTCTATGATAAATATGGTCTCTGAATTTACCATATGATATGTGGTATGGTCTTCTAAAAACTACTTTATTAAAGCACCTACAAGCAGGCTCAGCGGCCCGGGGTTTGATCCGCAGGCCTGCCGTGCAAGCCCCACCCCCAGGGCTGCTGAGACAGCCATTGAGATTGGGCGTGGTGGCGCATGCCTGTAATCCCAGCTCTTGGGAGGCTGTAAACAGGTGGATCACTATGAGTCTGATCTAGTAGTGAGACCCCGAACACCCTGTAGACCCTTCCCTAAAATAAAAAATAAATAAATAAAATGAAAACTACTTTTAATATGTAAATCATGCTTTTAAAATGGAATCATTATTTAAGTGAACTTGTTTTATCTAAAAAACATCCAGATTTTTTAGATGTCTTTATATTTATATTTTAGTGATTCCCCAAATTATTTGTTTATGCAGTTGTGCTGGTCGAGCAAATATATAAGCAATTATTACTTTACTTTACGTACTTGTACAGTAATAGTTGAAAATAAGTGAAAATAACTCCAAGAGGAGTCATTTGACCTGTATAAGAGATAGCCAACAATAAACGGCTTTTGTTTTTGTAGATAAAGTTTTATTGACACATAGTCATTCCTCTTTTTAAGTTGTCTAAGGCTGCTTTGCCTTGGAGTGCTGGAGGTGAGCAGTAGCTATAGAAACCTTTGCCCCCGTCAGCTGAAAATATATAGTTTTTGATAGGACAGTTTGCCAACCTCTGCTCTAAATGAAAATATATAAAAATCCTTTCTATAGCTGTGTGTGTTTAATTGTCTTTCTCAAATGCAATCTTTTTTTAAAAAATTAATTATTTATTTTTGTGTATGTGTGTGTGTGGCCAGCTCAACCCACCAGGGGGCGGGGCGGGCTGGCATGTGGTGCTGGGGATTGAACCGCGGTCCCTGTGCATTGCTAAGCTTGTTCTAAGTAGGTGCTTTAGACCACTGAGCCATCTCACCAGCCCTCAAGTACAATCTTAAAAGAACTGAATTTCAAGTTGATAATACTTGAGATTTCTGTCTCTGGTTTTTAGCTAGTAATAATGCCATGCTGCCTTATAGATGACAAATGTCAATAAGCAGCTTGAGTCAGTTATTCATTGCAAATTTTCTTGAAAAATATACCTTTGTTTTAATCTAGTTATTTTTTAACTCATTGTAGCCAAGAGATTTTTGCAATTTTTGAAAAGGTGGTAATAAATCATAAACAATGATAGACTTATACTATATAATAAATTAAAAATGATCATAGTAGGGCATGAAACTGCTCTATCTTAGGTGATAAGAAGACTCAGGCCTGTACCAAATGCTCCCACCCAGAAGTGTGTGGTGTTGTCACTGACCCAGCTGGAGGCCAGGCAGCTTGAACTTCTGCCCAGCTGAAGTGGCGACTACCACGGTGAGCCTGTGCACACGGCACGAGGACCATAGCTGCGCACACTTGTGGCAGTGATCAGAAGTTTGCTGTCCCCCACTGTTTTTGTGTTGGTGCATTTATATTTCACTTTATCAAAGAGAACTTGACATGGTCCTTGAGAGGGAGACATAAGTTACCTGCCTTCCTGACAGGGTCAGGGAAGAACAAGGCTGTCACTGGGCCATGTGGCTTTTCTGATTTCACCGTGTGCTACAGTGACAGCTCTGCTGTCTCCACACACATCTCACCTGCCATGAAGCCAAACATGGCAGAGTTTGCGAGGACAGACAGTCACCAAACCCCCATCAGCTTATCCAAGGCAATCATTAGTGGTAAGACTTAGTTTAAAAATGAGAGTCCTGATCAGATGTTAGCAAGGCAACATGCAGGGATGGCAAATACTCTCTGTTCTGAAATTGCTTCAGAAGCAGAGGGAAAGGCCACATTTCAAAGTGACACAAAGAAGTTCCCTTTTCATCTAAGATGATCTGGGATGGTCTTTAGGAAGCAGCCTACTCACCCCCATTTCACTGCATTTCCAAAATCTCTTCTCTGGACCTGGGGAGATAGCTCAGTAGAATAAACGCTTGCCTGGCAAGTGCAAGGTCCTGAGTTCAATCCCCACTACTGAAAGAAAAAAAAAATTTCTTCTCTGACAACTAATACCACCATCATACAAAAAAAAAAAAAAAAAAAAAAAAAAAAAAAAAAAAAAAAAAAAAAGAAAAAATAAACTACTTTTCCTTCTACATCGAGCCTAGCTGAGTTGTTTGTTTTTTTAAGATGGCACTCTAAAGATAGCCTTTTGGTTTATATTGCTAAGATAAAATCATTTCTACTCATTTGTCTTACTCAGCCTCAGTCTTGTTTGTTCCCTGTGGTTATTTTCCTTTGCCCATGTGCCAAGCACCAAAGAGGAGCAGGAACGGGACCGATGATGCAGTAGGCAGGATGGTCGCTACCCTGCAGCTGCCCTGGGCTTATGTCAGTCCATCGGGCATCGTTCTCATTTGTGTGGCCCAGCAGGAAAGGGGATGTCCCTGTGAGTGAACCCCCCGTCCTCCTGGAGCAGTGGTTTCTTGCTGGAGGTTTCCTTTGGCCTCAAGTGGTCTTTCGCTTCCTTCTTGGAGCAGTTTCTGCAATTGTGCCAGGAGGTGCAGCACTACGGGTACGTGCGGCTGGATCCCTGCCTCTGTGACCACCCAGAGCCAGGCTGCAGGGCCGTGCTCTCCATCGGCAATGACGAGATCAACTGCAGTGTCACCCTGCCGGACCACCAGACCCGGGATGTCACCTTCCAGCTGAGCAGGGTGAAGTGCTGGCAGGTCACTTTCCTTGTGAGTATCTTGGCACCTGGCTTTGCCCATGGTTTAAGATCTTGCTGCTCTTGATGGACAGAGTTGGCACTAGGGAGACAGGTTTGATGTTTAAATTAGTACCTGAATGGAGAGGCAACTAAACCACATTCAACATCATCTGATGATAAATGCTGTTAGTAGTGGGTACAGTTACCCCATCCAGGATAACAGAGAGACCAGTCTTCCTCTCTCCAGCAATAGGCTTCTCTACTGCTTGAAGGGCAGCCAGAGAAATAATAGGGGGTGGTAAGAATTGCACTGAGGGAGTGAGCGCTTGCCATGTGCCCCGTGCTACCGAGAGCCTGGATGCTGCCCGCAGAGCCCTGTGGAGGGAGCCTTGGCATTGTGTTTATGCTGCCCTCTTCTTGCGAGATAAACCTCTATGATCAGATTTAGTGAATCTGTGCTTTCTGCTCGGTGCTGTGCTGAGCCCGGCCACATCTATTACAGTGCTACCTTGGTTCACGAACTCACTGCCCTCCATGATTCTGATCGCAAACTGAAGAGGAAAGGAAGGGAATCACATTTCCCCATTAGGCCAACCTGGAAACCAACCACTGAATTTGTCCAACTCAGTTTGCAACTAGAATTGTGAAAAGAATAAAGTTCATCAACCGAGGTTTCCTGACTAATTCTGACAGTGGTTAACTGGGGTTATCTAGACCCCACAGGGAATAATTAGCTGGCCGAGGACTTGGATTTCTGCTAGCTTTTGAAACTGTCCACCTTTCTTCCATTGCCAAGCTCCCTCTCCTGCCTCCCCTTCTTAGCTGGCCACTTCCGCCTCGGAGCCTTCCGGCAGTGCTGGTGTATCCTGGGGCTCCTGGCTAGCATCTTTTCCCTGCATGTTCACCTGTGCTCTTCTCAGAGCCTCGGTGTCCTGCTGACTCTAGCCACCTTCCCCAGAGGACCCCCATCATGGCAAATTCCTGTGCCTGTCCCACCTCATTCCTCTATCTTGTGTTTTCTATCTTGCCAAATAAGACTTCTAGGGCCAGCCAAAAAGGTCAGCAGATTAAAGCACCTGCTTAGGCAGACTCAGGGGTCGGAGGTTCGATCCCTGCCTGCCCCCAGGGTGCACTGAGCCCAAGATTGAGACTGGGCGTGGTGGCTCATGCTTATAATCCCAGCAAACAGCAGGATCACTACAAGTCTGATCTACTTAGTGAGACCCTATAGACCCTTACTAAAATAGAAAACAAAACAAAAAAAAAATAAACAAACAAACAAAAAACAAATAGGACTTCTATTTCTCAATTGTCCTGGTCTCCAATTGAGAAATGCAGAAATCATCTCCAACCTTTCTTTCTCTCTCATCCTACACATTTAAATGCTGATGGAGACCTATCCAGATAACCTTGTTATCTTCAGCATTTTCCTTTCCACCCTCACAGCTTCATCTCCACATTCTCTGCATGCATGAGTTAAACAGCCTCTTATAATTTCTCTTTGCCCCAGTCCCATTTTCCACTTTAGAGTCAAAGAAAATACACTGTAAAGTTTCAATGTATTTTAAACTTATGGAAACTTGTTTTGCAGTCAAAAACTTGATCTATCTTGGTAATATTCCATGAGCACTTAAAAAGAAAGTCTTCTCTTGTGGAGTAGAGTAGGTTGTACATATCAGTTGCTTTGGGGATTGGCTTTCTTTTTCATAGCAGTTCTTTGGAAATGAATCCAGGTTGTGTAGATCAATAATTTCTTGCTTTTTATTGCTAGGCAGTAGTCTGTGTTATGGGTGTAATAAACTTTATTTAACTATTCATCTATTGAAGGACATCTAGTTATTTGCAGTTTTTGGCTGTTGTGATGATAACTGCCATAAATATTCATCTACTGGCTTTTGTCTGAGCATAAATCTTAAGTTCTCTGGGATAAATGCCCAGAAGTACAATTGCTGGGTCATATGGTAATTGTATGTTTAGCTTTTTAAGAAACTGCCAAACAGTTTTTGAGAGCAGTCATATCATTTTACACCCTCACTAGCAATATGTGAGCGGTCCAGTTTCTTTGTGCCCTCTCTAGCATTTGGTGTCATCTCTATTTTTTCAGTTTCGTTCGTTCTGGAAGATGATTGATGGTATCTCATTTGATTTGTATTTTCCTAATGGCTAACTTTGTTGAAGATGTTTTCATGTGCTTATTTGTCATCTGTCTATCTTCTTCAGTGAAATATCTGTTCATTTCTTTTGTCTGTTTTCTTTTAACTATTGAGTGTTGAGGATTCTTTCTGCATTCTAGCCTCTAGTCCTCTGTTGGACATTTGTTTTGCAAATATTTTTCTCTCTGTAGTTTTCCATCCTCTTGAAAAAGTGTGTTGCAGAGTAAAAGTTTTAAACTTTGGTAAAATATAGTTCATCATTTTTTTCTTTTATGGGTTATGCTTCCACTGTTTAGTCCAAGAACTTTTTGCCAAACCCTAAACCATGAAAAAGGGTTCTTCTGTTTCTTTTCCTAAGTTTTGTGTGGTAATGTATTCTACATCTAAGTTTTGAATTAGTTTTTGTATAAGATAAGAAACTGAGACAAGTTCCTAGTTTGCTCTAGCACCATCTGTTGAAAAGGATTTCTTTCCTTATTGAACTGCTTTTGTGCCTTTGTCAAGATGCGAGGGATATGACTCAGTGGCGGTCTGTGTGCTTAGCATGTGCTAAGGCCCTGAGTTCAATCCCTTTCACCCACCACAATTAGTTGGGCATGTTTGTGCCAGTTCTGTTCTGCTCTGCTGATCTGTCTTTTCTTTCACCATTACCACGTAACATTTTTTTTCTTTCATTGTAACAGTTGTATTGAGGTATAATTTAGTATACTATACAAGTTGGTCACATGAAGTGTGCAGTTGAATGGGATTTAATATACTCACACAGTTAAGTAGCCATCACCACAGCTACTTTTGAAGCATGTCCATCCCCCACAAAGAAGCACATGTTCTTCAGCTGTTGCAGCCTATCTCTAACCGCTGAGGAACAACTAATCTATCTATCTCTATAGATTATATTTGCCTATTCTGAGACTTTCATAGTACTGGAATCCTAGTCTCAGTTCTCTGCGACTAGCTCTCCCCTAGTGTGATGTATCTGAGGTTCATTTTTGTTGTATAGGTATCAGTACTTTATTGCATTTATTTATTTGCATTTTAGAAAAGGGTCAACAGGGTGTTCAGGGTCTCACTACTAGATCGGACTCATGGTGATCCACCTATTTACAGCCTCCCAAGAGCTGGGATTACAGGCGCGCGCCACCACGCCCAGTCTCAATTGCTGTCTCAGCATGCCCTGGGGTGGGGCCGGCATGGCAGGCCTGGGGATGGAACCCCTGGCTCCTGTGCCTGCTTGCAAGAGCTTTAAATCACTGAGCTATTTGGCAGGCCATTTTTATTGCTTTTAATAGTCAAATAATAACCCATTATCTGGATATACCATTTTATTTATCCATCCATCCCTTAATGGACATTTGGGTTGTTTCTACCTTGTGCTCTAATGAACTATACTGCAAGGAACATTTGTACAAATGCTTTGGGTAGTCAATAGTTTAATTGATCCTGGGTCCATTCCTAGAAGTGGAATTCCTGGGTCAAATGATAATTCTGTGTTTATCTTTTAAAGAAACCATCAGCCTGGGGCCGGGGATATAGCTCAGTGGTGTAAGCACCTGGCTGGCCAGCGCAAGGTCCTGAGTTTGATTCCTGGTACCACCAAAAAAGAAAAAAAGAAACCATCAGCCTGTTTTCCAGATTGGCTGTATGATTTGGGTTCCCCAGGAGACTTTGAGAGTTCCAGTTTCTCCATGTCCTCGCCTGTACTTGTTTTGTCTGAGTTTTAAAATTACAGACAATCTCATGGATATGGAGTAGAATCTCATTATGGTTTTCTGTATTTCTATTTTTTTCTCTATAAACTTCATCTTGGGTGATCTTTTCATCTGTATTGTCTTAATATACTATCTATCCTATCCAGTGCATTTTTGCATCTAATCTTGTATTTTTTGTCTCTAAAAACACCATTTGGGTCTTTTTTATATCTTTCATTTCCCTCCTTTTGCTTATTTTTTCCTTTAAATTTTGCTTGCTTGCTTAATTGACACAGGTCCTGTCTACATAGTTTAAGCTGGTCTTAAACTCACTTTGTAGTCCAAACTGGCCTTGAATTCAGAGCAGCCATCCAGCCTCTGCTTCCTGAGTGCTGGGATTGCAGGTATGTGCTACCTTGGCTGACCAAATTCATGTCTAAGTTCTCAAGGTCCACACACTGTAGCCCATGTCTTCATGCACACTGGATAGTAATGCTGTGTACACAGTGGAGGTCTGATAGGAATATTGCAGAGCAGAGCTGGAAAACTCCTGTTGCCTGGTAATATAGTTATTAGAGCATCACAGCACCATGTACTACATGTTCGTGGTGATGCTGGTACAAATAACCCTACTGTCCTGCCAGTCAGATACAGTTAGATACATGAAACTTACAATTAAAAGCTATGTTACTGGCTATGTACTTATTTTACTGTGATTTCCATCATCAGAGTGTACTTCTAGATTCTGAAACAAATGTCACTATAAAGTAGCCCTCTGTGTGACACAAGTACAGCCTCATACTCATGTTTACCCATGTCTCTTGCTTATATCGAGAGGCCATATGGAGTTGGCCCAGGGTCCAGGGTTGCAGCTCAGCAGTGGAGCATGTGCTTAGCATGTACAAGGCCTTGGATTATATCCCCAGCAATGTATGTGCCACCCAGAAATGCTATTTCAAGTGACATAGCATCCAGATTTGCGTAAGTATACTCTATGATGGCCACAGAGTGACAGAATTGCTTAACAGTGAATTTCTCTGAACATTTCCATCACGAAATGATGCATGACTGTAACTTTTAATGTATTTGCCGACTAATCCCTTCATCTCTATTACTTCCAAGTCTGTTTCTGTTGATTGATTGTTCTCTTGCTTACAGATCATATTTCTTTCTCCCTTATATCCCAGGTAGTGTTTTTTGGTACCTGAACATTGTGAATTTCACATTGTTGAATGCTGCATTGTATTGTGCTCTTTAAAGGTGATTAGACTGTTCTACCATGCAGTTAAGTCACGTGGAATTGCACTTATTTATCTAATTGTTTGTTTGAAGTCTGCTTTTAAGCTTTCTTAAATGAGGTCCAGAGCAATCACAAGCCTGAAGCTGATTTAGCCCATTCCTCATCAGCTACCTTTCTGCTGACTCTACCCTACCTCTCTGGCCCAGGGTGGCTTCTCTATTCTGGCTGATGGAAACACAAGCTCTTCCCACCTTACTTGAAATCTTCTGAAACTGGTCAGCACCCTGCTTTTTGGTAGGTCTTTTCCTGGCTTCAAGGAGTTTTACTCCACACATACCCGGATCATTATTCAGCTGAAGATTTGAGAAGAGTTCTGGAGTTTGTGGTATTCTGCTCTACACAGTTTGACCTCAACAACATCTACTTTTATCACCTTCTCCTCAACTTAGCAAAAGCTCTGGGCTCTGTCTGGTTTCCCTCTTCTTGGGCTACATCCTGGAAACTCCACAGTGAGGCCAATGAGACAAATGCTTTCTGGGCCCCTCATTTGATTCCAGAGTTGAGAGACCTAGAAGCAGGTCCAGATGGAGTTTTTATCTCCTAGACACCCTACATTCCTTTGGTTCCCAACTTTCTGAGGCCTCTCCTTCAAGAACCAGCTGGGATAATCAGCCCTTGCCACTTGCCAGGGAAGTGCTTATTCCACTGAGCCATCTCCCTGGCCCCCACATTTGTGTTTGTAACACCATAGCTACACACTGGGGTACTTCACTTCCATGGCCCCTCAGTAGACCCGTAGCTTCTCGGGGAGGGATGGTCTCACTCATTTTGATATTCGGTGGCACTTCAACTTCTGACTGTCAGATAATATATTTTCCTCTGTAGGGGACCCTGCTGGATATGGATGGACCCCAGCAAACTCTCAACCAGAATTTAGAACTCAGATTTCAATACAGTGAAGATAGTTGCTCGCAGTGGTTTGTCATTTATACCAAGCAGGTGAGTGCTCAGGACAGAGCATGAAATGCTGCCTTGCTGGCTTGGGTGGGCCAGGCACATCGCCTTAAAACCAGCCAGAGTGGGGCACTAGTAGGCAATAGCTTTTCTTTTTCTCTTCTCTTCTCTTCTCTTCTCTTCTCTTCTCTTCTCTTCTCTTCTCTTCTCTTCTCTTCTCTTTTCTTCTTCTTCTTCTTCTTCTTCTTCTTCTTCTTCTTCTTCTTCTTCTTCTTCTTCTTCTTCTTCTTCTTCTTCTTCTTCCTCTTCCTCTTCCTCTTCCTCTTCTTCCTCCTTCTCTTCCTCTAACTTTGCTTTCATTATTTCACCAAGAAATAACTATCTGATATAAAAGCCACCAAGACTTTCACATCATTTACAAATGAATTTAGTTACTATGCTAGTTTTTTGTCACTGTGACAAAATATCTTTGATAACCAACTAAAAAGAAGAAAGGTTCATTTTGGTTCATGGTTTCAGAGTTTCAGTCCCTGGTTTCTTGGTGCACTACTTGGGCCTGTGTGAGGCCATACATCATGGCAGGTAGTGTGTGATAGAGCAAGCTTGTGGAACCTTAGCAGCTAGGAAACAATGAAAAGAGAGGAAAGGGCTAAAGTGCCAATGTATCCTTCAAGGGCACACCCTACTGAGTGACTAACCTCCTCCAGCTAGGCCCTAACTTCTAAAGTTTTCACCATGTCCCAATGACAGCACCTTCAACATGTGTACTTTTGGGGACATTTAAGATCCTAACCATAATAGTTATCAAGTAATGGAGACTGAATAATTGGCTTATAATGAGGGTCAGAAGAATTCTTTCTTAAAGGTCTAGATGATGAATATTTTAGGGTTTGAGGTCCATTTGGTCTCTGTTGCAACTGCTGAGTTCTGTTGAAAGCAGTTATAGATAGTACATAAACAAATAGGCCTTTTTTTCTAAGAAAACTTTTGTCTACAAAAATATTGTGCTAGATTTGTTGCTAACCTTTGGTTTAGACAATACAGAGGTTTTTTTTCAAATAATACTATAAGAGGGTGATTGGCACCCTTATTCTGTTGGCCTTTTCCAACAGATAAAAAGCTATCTTTCACATTTAGAAAGCAAATGCTTTACCTCAGAAACCTCCAAGCAAACTTTCATTTGTGTCACTGGTCAAAACTGACCATCCATCCACCCTAGCTGCAAGGGATTCTGGGAATCAAGTGTCTAGCAAAGAGGAACAAGATACATAATTGACTTGTAGCAGCATGAATCACTGTCTGCAGCAATCATTTCTTATCCCAAACAAAACCAAGGTCTTTTAGGAAAGAAGAAAACAATGGCTTTTGGATAGCTACCTATTCATATTTATCAGGGACTTATATCTAAAATAGAAATCCTAAAATAATTAATTTTTAAAACTTAAAGTCTTTTACTGAATTTAACCTACTTCAAAGTGGAATCAGAACCACAGATGTTCTAAAACAGAGTTAGAATTTCATTATATTCAACCTAAGTCCTACTAACTTCTGTGGAACATTCTAGTTTTGACTAACCAAAGCCCTCTTTTAACTATAATTCTAAAAGAGTAGAGGTCGTGACATCAAAGTCTTCTGAAAAACATGAAATACTAAACTATAATCTTCAGTTAAAGAAACAGGTCTTTAGGTCCACTTTTTTGGGGGACTGAGGGTTTGAGACAAGGTTTTATTATGTAGTTCAGGCTGGTCTTGAACTCACTATGTAACCCAGGCTGGCCTCACACGCATGGTGATTGTCCTGCTTCAGCTTCCAGAGTGCTGGGATTACAGATGTGTGCTGCTAGGACTCACCTAGGGTAACTTTAACTGCTTTTTTACTCCCTCTTCAGAGTGCTAAATGCAACTAAATTGTATTACGATTTTTAAATCTAAACAGTAGCAAAGGAGTTTAAACCATGGCAGAGAGGGGCACAGTAAACATTATTTTAAATAATTCCTAGCAAGATCTTATTTCCTTTGGAATGTTTTATTGATGTCCACTTAAGGCAGAAATGTGACTTGTATGGCTTGCAAATACAGGTGAAGGTTTGGGCTGAAATCTATCTTTTTTTTCTTTTCTTGTCTTTCTTTCTTTCTTTCTTTCTTTCTTTCTTTCTTTCTTTCTTTCTTTCTTTCTTTCTTTCTTTCTTTCTTTCTTTTGAGTACCAGGAATCAGATTCAGGACCTCATACTTGCCAGGCAGGAACTGTGCCACTGAGCTATATCCCTGGTCCCTCCTCCTATGTTTTTTAAAACAAAACTTCAGCTTATATTTAGTAAATCTGACCTTGTCTGTAGCATAGTGATTTGTCTGTTTGTCTGCATACAAAGCAGAAGAAAAGGGAGTCAGTCTGCATTTTGAGGTGCATATGATTAAGCATCCTTTTCTAGCTGCACCAGCTTGGGTTCATTGGTTAACCATGTAACACTCTGGTTTTGTGTAGGTTACATATATGTGCAGATATATATTCTTACCAATGCTAGGAAGTCAAACTGTGGGTACACATATCATGTATGTCCTCTTTGCTTGGTTTGGTAACCCTGTTTTTGCTATCTCCCCTCCTTTCTTTTTAAGTAAATTTCATTCCATCAGATGGTGAGATGTTCCTTCACGTCAACCATTCACCCTCTAATTCTGCTCCGTGCCACATTCTGAGGACTTGCCACTTTGGCCATTGCCCTGGCCTTTGTTTCTCACTCTTGCCCGCTCCTCCTCCCACCAGCTCCTCAGTAGTGACTGAACACCCTTCTAGACTAAGGTCTTGGCACCCCTGCTGTGGTTGGCTCCAACCTCAGTAAGATCGAAAGAGAAAATAGCTAAGCAAGACGGGAAGGACAAGAAAGATAAAGGATCAAAAGGAGAAGAGCAAAGGGGAAAATCTCAGGGCAGCTTACATTTGTCACACATTGTGTAGAGCCTGCGACAGGGAGCCCCATCTTATGGAGCAAGGTGTGCCAGGCGGAGGGTCTTGGCACTAGCAATGATGATTAAGCCCCTGATGATGCTGGAGGCAACTTCTCCATCTTGCTGATGATTGATTAAATGGATTGGAAAAATAAGAAATGAAGAAAACCACTAATTTCTAAAGTTTCAGTAAACGCAATAAGATGTTCATATATTCTCTCAGACAGGTTCCTATTTATAATATTTATAATAACTCCTTTGATAATTGTGTATATAATTACAAATTCATCAGCATCAGTTTATTTGATTATAATAAGGAGTTAATGTTATTTATTGCTCATAAAACATGATCTGCTTATACACTAATAAACATGGTGTACAAGTGGGACGTTTTAAAGAGAAAAAGATTTGTAATGAGTTTCTGGCCATTTTTGTCTGTCTTTAAATTTTATTGTAAATATATACATGCAACTGAGAAAATTTATGTTTACAGACTAATTGAATTTTATGCAAATTTCTAGAAGTTAAAGAAGAACTCTAAATCCTTATCAGCATGCTATTGTTTTGTAAGTGTGTATGTGTTTTTAATTTTTGAAACAGGGTGTTGCTGTATAGTTCAGGCTGAACCTGAGGGGGCTGGTGAGATGGCTCGGTGGAATAAGTGCTTCCCTGGCAAATGCAAGGGCCTGAGTTCAATCCCTAGTTCCACCAAAAAAAAAAAAAAGAAAGAAAAAGAAAGAAAGAAAGAAAGAAAGAAAGAAAGAAAGAAAGAAAAAAACAGATGTCAGACTGAACCTGAATCTATGTAGCCAAAGTTGGCGTTAAACTTGTGACAATCCTCCTGCCTCAGCCTCCTGAGTGCTGGGATTACAGGCATGTGCCACCACACCTGACTTGCTCTTATATTTTAAACCATTCCTAGTCTCCTCTGTGGCATGAGGAGGGAAGGAAGAGGAAGAAAACCTCTTGATTACACAGTGTTTTATTTTATTTTATTATATTTTTTAATTTATGTATTTCATACAGGGTCTCACTATGTAGCTCAGACTCGTGGTGATCCTCCTGTTTCCAGCCTCCCTAACACTGGCGTTCCAGGCGTGCACCACCATGCCCATTCTTGGTCACCGGCTCAGTGTCCCCCGGGATTGGGGCCGGTGCAGCATGCGGGACTGGAAATCAAACCCTGGTCCCTGCGCTTGCCAAAGCAGGCGCTTAGTCCACTGAGCTATCTCCCTGGCCCTACAGTGTTCTTGTGTTTCTGGATTTCCTAGGCATTTTTGCTGAGTAGTTGCTTGAAAAAGATGATCTCTGAGAAGATGGCAAAACTAGCTGCTGAGAGCTCAGAGATGGTAAGTGCTTGTATCGGCGCGCGCGGCCCCTTTAGGTCCCCACAGTGAGCTGCACTCAGAGACCAAAGTGCCCCGCAGGATCCTGGGCCGGCTGTTCTGATCCTCAGGGAAGACTCTGCCCCACGCCGAATGAGCTCCTCGGGCCTCTGGCGCACGGTGGTCAGGATGGTAGCCCGCAGCAAGTCTGTCTTTAGAATTCAAGCCGTTTTTCGAGGGAAAGGTCATCTTTGGATTACTGAGAACTCTGTAACATTCTACTCACACTGTTATTTCAGCTTCATCCTAAATGGACGCTTTTAGATTTAGCCCAAAATCTTCCTGACAAAGTCAGGCTCTTTAGCACAGTGGAGATGCTCTTAAATAAGGTCTGGTGTGCTCTAGAAGGAATCTATAGCCTCCTGATACTTCTGGAGTACCAAATGGTAATGCCTTCAGCAGATGGGAGAAGCCAGAGAGTAGAGGAAATGCGCTAGTGTGTTTGTTTGTTTTTCTCAATGCCAAGCTAACTTTGTTTTTCTCCCTATATGTATTCACTGGAGGCCCAGTTACTAAGTGAGACCTTCACTGAAAAAGCTGGAAGCCAAGCTGTAAAGCCAAACATTGCTGAGATTTCAGTCTTTCCTGACAGCCTTGACCTCAGCATGATATAAGCCTGTCCCAGATAAGGCAGTACAATTTGATTTTTAAAAATGATTACAGGGCCGGTGAGATAGCTCAGCGGACTAAGCGCCTGCTTAGGCAAGCACAGGGGCTGGGGTTAGATCCCTGGCACCACATGCTGCACCAGCCCTACCCTGGCGCACTGAGCTGGTGACCGAGTCTGGGCGTAGTGGCGCAGGCCTGTAATCCCAGCACTGAGGAGCTGAAAACAGGAGGGTCACTACAAGTTCGAGCTGCATAGTGAGACCCTGCGCGCATACACACACACACACACACACACACACACACACAAAATTTTTAAAAAAATGATTACATATTTTTAAGCTTAATTATTAATATTACACTAATCTTTAAAAAAATACAACAGAAAACAATTGGTAACTTCCCTAGCGTTTTTTAATTTAAATTTAGTTTTTTATAACAGGATAGATAATATAATGTCTTTGGCTTGACCTTAATTTTTACTTGACTTTACAGCTTTTTTTTCTAAGAGAATAATTGTGTTTTATACTTATTCTCTTTCTTCTGGAGCCAAAATATCTTTCCAGGGAAAATAAATTCACTACCTCCTTGTGACTGAACAATTCAAAATGTTCTCAAGGGTAGAAAATGAAGCAGGCTCTTTTTTTTTTTTTTTTTTAAAGGAGTCGTAAAATCCAACCTCTTAGGCAGAGTGAGCCCTCTTAGGCTTTGATTATTATACATATATGAAAGGAAGAAGAGAAAGGTAATTAACTGAAGTAGCCTTGTTAAATAAAGAAGTGCCCTCAAATGTGGACAGCAAAACATAAGCCACTTGACACAGGAAATACTTGGACAGTGAATAGCTAAAGAGTTAGCTCAATAAAATGGAGAAGGTAATAATCTATTTGAAGTTCTTAAGGAAAAGAATCATGCTGCATTCCCTAGATTGGCAGATGAATTGAAGGCTACCATTCCCCACTGTGACTAATCGAAAATCAGCGTTATGAGTCAACACTTTTGCAATGCTTTATCCAAATAGTCACCCAGCTTTATTTTCACAAACTATCTCTTTGCTCATTTGAGTTTTTGGAAAGAAAAGTTAAGACTCTTCCTCTTGAAAATTGGGTTTTTCAAAGCATGTTGAAAAGGTAGTCTGTCTGTGTTTCAGTCTGGAACTTCGTCTACGAAAACCTAGGGAGGGGCTAAGGATAGTTCAGCAATCTAAGTGACTGCCTGGCTAGTCCAAGATCTGAATTTGATCCCCAGTACTGAATCAAATTGGGTCGCTGTGACGACCCCAAAACCCCAGTTGTGGTGGGAGGCTGAGACCTGAGGATCACAAGTCTGAGCTGATAGTGAGACCCTGTATCAAATAAATAAATAAAAAAAGACTGAAAAAAAAAAAAAAAAAGAAAAGAAAAAAGAAAAACCTAGGGAGGACAGAATCCTGGAGAGCAAAAAACAGCACATAGGTAAACTAGCCATTTGAGCTCACCCTGAGTGTTGGGCTTCTCCACGAAGGACAGGAGACTAAAGCCACCCTTTTTATTTTTATTTTTAATATTTATTTATTTATTTTGAGACGGTTTCTCCCTATACAGTTCAGCTCAAACTGGGCTGGAATTCACTGTGTGGCCCTGGCTGGCCTCGAACTCGTGGTGATCCTCCTGCCTCAGCCTCCTGAGTGCTGGGCTTATAGCCATCCTCCACCACACCTGGCAGGCCTCATGTAGTTGTATAAGACTGTGACATTCAGTTTCTTCAAGTCAAACACATATTCTGAACCAAGAAGTCACCTGCAGAAAGTCTATTTGGCCCAGAACCCAGACATCTCTAAGAAGCAGATTCTGCGTCCAAAATTTTGATAATCTTGAATAGTCTGAGTCAGGGGGAGAACGTGAGCAGAACAGTAACCAAATGCACCCCATAAGTAAAGTAGGTGATCCTCAGAAGCAGATTAAATAGTACTGGGTTTTCCTGTTACCACAGAATGAAGGGAAGAAAAAAATTAGTGTTAACTGAAAGTTAATTGGCCTGGTTAGCTTTAGACAGTTCTTTCAAAGATAAGATTTGAATTGTTTATGAAGAAGTCACTAAAATTGGAGTGAACAAAATGCAGTAAAGAATTCTGCAAGTACACAACCACAACATACAATTTCTTGTTAAATACTTAAAGGCAGTATTTACCACACACAAGAGGAGAAGGGGATGTAACATTTTTCTTACAACGACATTCTTATACAAAAGCTGAAATATTTTGTTAATATTTGCATTATTATTATTATTATTATTATTATTATTAGTCTTTTTGAGACAGGGTATGGCTGTGCAGGTCAGCCTGGCCTTGAGCTCACTTTGTATCCCAGGCTGGTCTTAAACTCACAATGATTCTCCTGCCTCAGTCTCCCAAGTGCTGGGATTATAGGCATGTACCACCATGTCCAGATGCTGCTTTTAACTAGAGCAAAATTATCAAAGATACTTGTTTTGCTTGAAAATCAAATTCACTGGTCAGGCTTAGGTTTAGTTTCATAGAACAGAAAATAAGAGAAAGCTCATGTCTCAGGCACGGACAGTGACAGCAGGTACAGAACAGCCCAAGTACACGGTGGGATGGGCTTCCAACGCTAGGGGGACGCAACAAGGGGACGCGACAGTGCAGAAATAAGTGACCACATTACCAGAAGTCACTCTAAAAACAAAAACAGGAAGTGCAGGAGAACTGTGCTAGGAAATGAAGTTTCATTTTCCCTGATTTTATCCCCCTGCCGCATACAGTGCTTAGGCTTCCTACAGTAGGTCAAGGAAACTGGTTGTACTTTATTTATTATGACATAGGGAAAGTAACAGAAAGAAAAATTGTCAGAATTTCCTCCCAAGTTCTGCATTTCATTGCACCAGGTCATAAACTAAAATGCAATATTGTAAAGCAATAAAAATAATAGTGAAACGTGGCATTGGAGCTTTAACGTCTCATCTACCAACACTTTTTACACTGTTGAAATACAGGCTTCAAATATATGACCCACCGTTTGTATTCAAAATACTAACCAAGTGGGATTCCTAAGTACTGTATATCCCCTTAACACAATTTATTTTGCAGTAAATTTAAGTTAACTATATTCAAAGGATAATACTCATTTGCAGTGTCATGTCAGTTGTTCCATTTATTATGACATGTCCCACTGTCCAGTTTCATGAGTAATAAGCACTGCTAGGCAGCCTAATAATTTGCCCCTACATTCTGTCATTTATGAAGCCTGCATTTGCCATGTGGCGGCTACAGGTCTGGGACCCAGCGTCAATCAAGGAGGAGAAAGGCAATTAGGACAGAGATATTTATGGCCCTCATGCGATGTGTCCCAGGCCCTGTTGGAGCACTGAATAGAATGCACAGTTATTTAATGGGCCTTTTCCAGGAGGAAGTGTCCAAGTGCTGTGTCCCTCCATCTCTGCCAGGTTGAGTTAGGTGTGCCAGGCGCCTCTCTTCACCCTGCTCTGTGCCCACTTGACTGACCCTGGTATGCTGTGACCTTGCTTTCCTTGGGGTCACCCAGTGGCATCCGAGCGGGAGACTGAAGGTGGGGTGCTTGGGCACTGTCTGTCCAGCCCTGGCCTTGCTGGAACTCCGATTTCACCTCCCATACTGAACGCTGTGGCTCCTGTCACACAACCCTGGGGCACAGCTGCTCTGATCCCAGTACCAGCCAGTCCTCTCACCCCTGCAAGCCTGGAGGTGGCAGAACCCGCCCTCTAGCTCCCTCATTGAGCCTCTAGGGGCCCAGTGTCCCCTACGGATTTGCTTTAATCCTGCTTGAAGCTGCATTAAATGCTAGTTCAACAGCGCTTTTTAAAAACTCTGCTCATTTACCAGAAACAGACAGCCCTTCGCCTTACTCTTACCTCGCCTACGCGAGGTGTAGTCAGGCTGGATTCTTCATTTGATTAATGGTGGCTTTTGATGAGGCAGAGCACCATTTGGCTTTGATTCAGCATATGGATTGGAGCTCTGTGGATTATCTGGAGGTTTAGCAGCGCTGTGCATTTCATTTCGTGTGAAGAACTTTGTAAAGTTGCGTTCAATCATGAAATCCACAGGCAACACCCAGTCTTAAGCACAAAGCTTCGCCTCATTTTCGGGGACTTGATTCTGTCACATAGAGGCCCCGGCACACGGAGGGGGTGCACAGCTGACGGCCCAGCAGAGGAGCCCCGGCCGGTGCAGCTTGGGCCCAGGGAGGATGGCCGCGGGGGCGGAAATGTGCTGGTTCAGGCCTGTGCGCTGGCTTCTCGGGGTGGAGCTGACCGACATTTCACTAATCTATTTAGGAGATTGAAGTTCCGGAGAAAAGCAAAAGTAAAAAAGACCACGTTCGACAAAGCAAGGTCTGTGAGTAAAGTTATGTAACTGATGTGTAATTGTGTTGTGATTCAGATAAATCTGCCCCCCCTGTGCCCCTGAACCAAAGTCTTCCAATTTGATTTCCAAGAATAAGCTAGAATTCTGTGACTGGGCCGAATTAAGACTGGCAGAGAAGTACAGTAGTTTTGTTGTAACATCCAGCTGGGATAAGGGCCTGGCTCTTCCCCTCCCCACCTCTCCCCTTTTCCTCCCTCCTCTCCCCTCCCCTTCTCTCCTTCTTCGTCTTCTTTCTCCTCTTCCTCCTTCCTCTCATATTGAACCCAGGGCCTTTCTGTTGAACTACGTCTCCATCTTTTTTGCTTTTATTTATTATTATTTTTTAAAATTTTGAGACAGGGTCTTGCAGAGTTGCCCAGGCTGTGCTTGAACTTGTGATCCTCCTGCCTCAGCCTCCTGGAGTCTGGAAGGACAGGTGTGAACTACCACACCAAGGCATTTTTATGTCAAAAGGTTCCAAGAAGAACACAAAACTTTGGGTGATTTTCTTCTTCATTCACACACTTTTTAAACTCCTCTTTCTGGTTGGAACATTTTAAGACATCTAATATATTTTAGTTTTATGGGTTTTTGACTGCAGTATACTCTATAAAACAACGTTGAAGTTTATAAAATACCCTTTTGAGCATTGAGTTCTGCTGTGCAGATAATAAATGTGGAAAAACCCAAGTAACACGATTGAACACTCGTTGTTGCTAGGCAGTGTTGCAAGCACTTGTGCGTGAATTAATTCTCTCGCCCTCTCCGTCCCTCTAAATCCACTGATGGAAGTAGGGCACAGAGAGGTTAAGGCACTCTCCCAAAGCTGAACAGTGATCAGCACTGGAAGGAAGTAGGCCGGCTGAGCCTGGGGCTGTGCCCACGGCTACCCAACTCTGCCTTTCTGTATCCAAATTCTAGTGTAGCTAAATGAAGACGACCTCAGCAGCGTTTGAACTGGCTTCATTGTTGACCTCATGCCTCGCACAAGGTCTGGTGTGTAGACAGCGTGCCCTGGTATGGAGGCTCACGTTTACAAATATGTACGTGTATAGGGTGCTTGCTCGAGTGAGCGAGATCGGAAAACAAGATAGCATCGGTGCAAAGCTCTGTTTCCTAACAGTGCCGTTTCTGGCTGGCTAGAGCAGAGGTGAGAGGCGGAAACTCCACCGCTACCGGCTGTGTTTCCAGGCAGACAAAACCTCACCGTGCCAGGGACTCCTGGAGAGCTTTTTAATTGCTTTTAATTAGCGTGTGTTTGCGCGCACAGAGGTTAGGCGGCGCCTGAGGAGTTTGCGCATGCGCACAGATGTTTTAATGCCTTCCCCTCCCACCTCCCTTCCCTTCCCTCTCCATCTCTTGCCACCCTTCCCATCTGCAAAAGACCTGTTTCCTATCATCTTTTATTTTCCTCTTTGTTTATATTTTGGGTTTCTCATATAAGAGAAACGATGTGATCTTTAAGCATTACTTTTATTTAAAAAATCTTTATTTATTTGGTACAGGGTCTCGCTGTGCAGCTCAGAATCGTAGTTATCCTCCTGTCTCAACCTTCCCAGCACTAGGATTACAGGCATGCGCCACCATATCGGTTTGGCGCGACACATGGTACCAGGAACACTTGTCCTTGAGCTCGCTAAGCAAGCGCTTAGACCGCTGAGCTGTCTCCTCAGCCCCATCTTTAATCATTGCGTGTCTGAGTTATTGCCCTTAACCTTAGGGTCTCAAAATGCATCGTTTTTCTACCAATGACTCCAGTTATCCCTCTTTGTGGCAGAGTAGTGCTCCACTACATGTAAACACATTTTCTTCACCCATACATCTGTTGATGGACAGATAGTGTGGTCTTGACTAGGCAGGTCAGCATCAGTAGAGAACTTGGTAGACCTAAAGCCTAGGATCCCCAAACCTACAGGGCAGACCCAGCAATCCACGCTCACCAAGGCCTCCAAATGAGCAGGATGCATGGGCCAGGTGAAAGCTACTGTTCCCCCAAACAGACATGACACACAGCACCATGTGACATCTCAGCCGCAGCCTTCCCACGCCTGAGCAGGTTGGCCTGTGAGAACAGGTCTGCGCCACCCACGCTAGGTTCCAGCGCATTTAGCAGAGCTGGGCATAGCAGTAGCTGTCCAGGTCAGAATCCCCGCCTGCTCCGGACGATGCCGTGAGCCGAGTGCGCTAGTCCATTCTGTCAACCGGGGCAGACTTTCTCCATACAACCTGCGCGATTCTCTGTGTACTTGAAATCATCCCTGTGTCTTATCACCTGGTAGAATGTGCATGCTGTGTTGGTAGTTGTCATCCTGAACTGTTTCAGAAATAACCAGAAAAAGTCTACCTGTGCAGAACAGATGCAATTTTAAAATATATTTTCCATCAGTGCTTGGTCACATGCGTAGATGCAGAGCCCCTAAACAGGGACAGGTGACTGTGTGTCTCATGTCATCCTCATAAACACTCCGTTTTTATTGTTCCATCCTTGGTTTATGGCCTAAGGACAGAAACAGAAAAGTTATGGAATTTGCTCCAGGGCACACGGAGGAGCCAGCATCTGAATCCCAGCAGTCCTTATGGTTGACAAATAAATTTGTTTGGTAGCTCTTCTGCCACAGGGATTTTCTATCAAGAAAAATCTTTCACAGAAAAAGTATTGAGCCAGTCTGCCTGGCCAGAAGCCCCACCTCTCATGGTTTGTTTGTTTGTTTTTTTCACATGGGCACCTATTGCCCAAATAAGCACTCACGGGGTAAAGGCATTCAAAATAACCATCGCTGAACACAGGTGTTCCCTTTCTGTTGTCCTCTAAATTTTAGTTTAGCCTCCTTGAAGTTTTTGTAATTGTTATTATGGAAATCATTTCCTTTCATTTACACTTCTGACCTTTCTGTTTCCTTCCCAGCAAAAACAGTGTTCTAGTTTTCTATCAAGAAAAAGCAAGATTAAGAGAGCTGAAGGTGACTGTGCTTTTGGAACCATAAAGGAAGAAGACCTATGAAGGGAAGTCTCACCTTCTTACGTCCCCTACGGCCAGATGGTGACAGTGTTGGGGCTGGGGTGGGGCTTGCTGCCATCACAGAGTTTCTGGACTTCCTCCTCCTGTGCCTGCTGACAGTAGGATAGACACAGCCACCAAGCCCACTGCAGCATTCTATGTAAATGTCCACATTAAGAAGATATAAGAACTGAAGTTATAGAATTTGTTTTTAATGGCTTATAGATCACAAATGGCAGATTCAAATCAGTTAATATGAAATTCGCTGTCTTCCCCTTTCCCCACAAAAAATAGATGCTTACCTGGCTTCATGAAGTCTTTTGTATGTTCTGGTATTGCATAAATGAAAGTTTTGTTCCAAAATGTTACTGATGCATTTGGGAGGGCGGCGACCTGGCGCGGCGGTCTGGGCGCTGGGCCGCGGAGCGCGAGGTCGCCGGTTCGCGCCCCCGTCCCGACTGTCTCTTTGTTTTGGGCCGGGGAGATGGCTCAGTGGAATAAGCGCTTCCCTGGCAAGCGCAAGGCTGTGAGTTCAATCCCCGGTTCCGCAAAAAAAAAAAAAAAAAAAAAAAAAAAAGAAAGATGCATTTGGGGCCAAGTTCTAAAGATGTGATTGGTCAGCTAGGAAAATTGTACTGTATCTAGGAAGGAAATTTCCGGAGAAGAAACCTAGACGTCCGTGACCTATCGGAGCTGTCACAAGGGGTGGGTGCGAGGCTATTTCCTTACCTAGTTCTGGAGGTACCAACGCCGTGGTCTCAGGTCAGATTCTGCCCAGTCCTGTGCTCCTTCGCTGGTTTGTGTTCCACCCTTAGATGCTGAATTCTGTTCCATAGTCATCTTGCTGTGTTGACAGGACCATACACTTGAGGTCAAATACCTTTAAAGTCTCTTCACTTTACAAATGTTTGTATGCTATCACTACATTTTCCTCTATCCAGTTGTATTATTTTAAGGTAATTAACATCTTTATTATAGAATTGTGTATAGGATAATTACCACAATAAAGAAGAGGAACAGAGGAATCTAATGTAATTAGAAAAAATGCAATATCTTACTGTTCTTTCCTGTGTCATATAATGATATAGTAAATATGAAATATAGTCTATTCCGTATAGGATTTATCAATAAAAAAAAGTCTGTGGATGGTTTTTGGAAATGTAGACTCCATTAGAACCTTATAATACCTATAAATCAATGCCTATAGCCCAACTAAGCACCTTAACATTTTATGTTTGTGTTTTAGGTTGTAGTAAGATGTTTTTGCAGAAAGGTTCCCAGACATTCCAGATAAACCTTAGTTAGCATATTAATGGATTAGGATATTTTTAGATTACAATGGGAGCTTATTTGCTATTTTGCCAATTTAAGACTAAAGCCTATATTTTGTTTTTTGAGATAGAGTCTCACCATGTTATCCGGGCTGGCCTCAAACTTGTCACAACCCTTGTGCCTCAGCCTCTGGAGGGCTGGGATCACAGGCATGTGCCACAGGTCTCTCTTCTTGATAGGAAGTGCATCTATGGTAGAAAGGGCTGTCGCTGAAATTGGGAACACAAGAGAACTTGCATGGGGGTAAGAAGATGCGTGGAAGCTTTGAGCCATATGTGAAGGTAGTCAGTGTGGACTAAAAAAAAAAAAAAAAAAATCCATGTTGCCCATTTCTTGTTTCACCTTGGTGTCTGAGGGCGAGTGGCCACAGACAGTGCATATGTGGTGCCAGAAGTGTAGTGTGGCTCTGTGTGTCAGAGGAAGTTAGGGCCTAGCAGGAAAGGCCCAAGGGGAAGAGAGACTTTGAAGAAAGTAGAGACGCGTGGTCCAAGAGGGAACGTGCTAGGAAGGGGAGAGGAAGCCTGGATGGAAAGCAAGAGTGGTGTTTAGGGCACTGTATGCAGACCTGCTCAGTGTCAGCAGAGATTGGGGTTTAGGGGGCAGTTAGAAGATAAAGCTGAGAGGGAAGACGGATGGGGTCTTCTTGCATGTACAAGGGTATATCTCAACAACGTGACTGCAGCACTTCAGCCCTTATGTGAGAATGACAAAACCAAAAGTGTTGTATTCAATTATGTTTTCTCAAAGCATTGAGATTATTATCAATATCAGAAAATGAGAAGAAAAATACAAGCAATGACATGCACTCTACAGTCTATACCACGAGGAGTATAAAAACTAGGCGGGCAGGGAGTAGGATTCCAAACTTAATATGTAAAATGACATACATCTTAGTAAATATGTGATAGCAGGAGTGGCTGCTGTATTAACTGCTTTGGGGATTCCAGGGCCTGTGTTTATCTAGAAGGAGTTTGGGAGTGTGAATCACTTCAGGATCAAAACTCTTGGTCATTGGGTAAAAAGTCTGAGTTCCAGCGGCCAGGGTGGCCTTCTTTACCAAGGTCCTGGGAGAGATGGCGAGAGAGACCCTCATCAGTTACTCACTCCAGGGAGGAGGTCCCCTCCCATAACACAGCCACCCCAGTGTAGCAGAAGACGTCTGTCAGCCACCATCCTTAAGCCCCAGTTGGTGGGCTCTGGTACCTCTCAGGGCTATGCCTGGCTTTGGAAGTGGTGAGCCCCGTGCTGCTGCCTAAAGATCTCCTCATGTGCAGAGGGTTCTCATAGATGGTGCTTCTGTGGACTTTGGATCTGTGGATTCAGCTTGCTGTGGATCAAAAGTGTAGCTATGACTGTGTCTGTTCGGAGAGTGCAGACCTCGTTCCTCCTCATCATCCACTAAGCGATCCACTATGACCACCATTCGCCTAGTATTTATGTTGTATTAGATAATATAAGTGATCTACAGATGATTTAGAGGATGCGGGGAGGTTACCTGCAAATACGATGTCCTGTCATGTGAGGGACTTGGGCATCCATGGGTCCTGGGACCGGTGCCCTGTAGACACTGACAGAGAGACAACTGCACCTGTAGACATGGTTCCCAGGCAGCCACACCTTCTCCTGATGCACCGCATTCACAGAATTATTTCTAGGGACTAGACAGGCATGTGTTTTCCCTGCTGTTTATATTCTGAAATAATGAACAGAAACACTTTGCCCGCAGACAAGCACACCTGCGTTTGAAGACTGCACAGAAACCAGATTGAGGACAAAAAAGGAGAAAGCTGATTAAACTGTGGTCAGCCTGTTGTCTGAGCCCGGGGCTCCCGGGGAGAGTAGCAGGCTTGGCCTTTGTTTGCGGAGCTTACAGAGTTCGTGTCTTACAGAGTTCGTGTCCTCTCTGGGCTGGGTGAGGTGGTGACCTTACGGCTGGGGCACATCCCATTGTGGAAAGCTAGGCACATTTTATGATAAACATTTTGGTTGGAAATGACCTTAAGATCGCCCCAAAGCGAATCTGAGAAGAACTCAGTGATTCTGCTTTATGGAAAAGCAGATAGAGGCCACCCTTCAGTGAGAAAACAGTGGCTGGAATGGTCTTAAAATACAAAGCAAAAGAAAACCCAAAAGAAGACTCAGCGACCCTGGAGAGGTGACACTGGGGGAGCAGGATTGTGGGAGATGGTATGGGGGCCCTTACTTCTTCCAGGGGTGGGCTTGTCCCTGTAATCAAGGATCCAAGACAAGTGCCCCAAACCAGGCAGGTACATTGTGTTGTCACAAAAAATAAGATATGCTGAGTTGGAAAAAGTATGACTAGCCATTTATTCCTTACAAGACAGCTTTTAAGGCCCTGTAATTGTCCTCTTCATCCACTTTATTGAGGAATAATTATACTTTGCTTTTAAGTTGCTTTTAATAGCTAATAGTTATATTCTTGTGAAGTCCTTTGTCTGCAATGCTGTAGATAAGCTAGAGAAAAGTGCCATAGAATAGCACCCGATGTCGCTGAGGATGAGTCTTGGTTTAGCCCTCGCTCACGAAGGTCATGTCTTCAGCCCCCGATGGACATCACTTGGTGACACCCTGAAGAGATCCTCATTCTGTTATTTAATGATGCAGACCTGAGTGATTTTGTGCTGCTTCCAACGCCCCTGACTGTGGTTTCTTCCCAGAAATGTGGGAACTCGGAGTTGGCTGGACTTCCTAATGAGTTTTCCGTCTGTCAAGGCGAGTGTGGAGTTCGGGAGTGTGGGGTGGTAGCAGGCGTGGGGGCGGAAGCCCGTGGAATGGGCAGCTGGAGCAGCGTGAGCAGCAGGCTCGTGTGTGTGTGTGTGTGTGTGTGTGTGTGTGGTACTGGGAATTGAACTCAGGATCTTCACACTAAGCTACATCCTCAGCTCTTCTAAATT